AGTAGTAATCCAACCTTAACTGTAGTAGCTTTTCCTGCTGGCGTCTTGACTGGGAGATCATTACCAGGCCAGAAGACTCATTAGGTTTCTTGACTCTTAATATCTAAAAGTCACATTATAATCTAATTGGATTAGAATACGGACAAAATCTAGAAGTGATTAGAAATCGTACTTATATCACGGATAAATCTTACGTTCTTCTGTTTATGGCCATATGCGTATATTACTCTATCGGTTGTTTAAAAGTCGGTTTATTATTAGCGTACTCTTTTGTACTTTTGATTACTGTACAGTTAAAATCAGTTCTAAATATATTTATAATGTTACGCAATAATTACAGAGTAAATGATAAATATACAGCCATCTAGGCCGCAGGCACCGGCCTGGCTACAAGCCTGTAATCCATCACTTTGGGAGGCTGAGATGGGCGCAGGCAGATCACGAGGTCAGAAGGTCGAGACCATCCTAGCTGACACGGTGTAACCCTGCCTCTATTAAAATACAAAAAATTAGCCGGGCATTATGGTGGGCGCCTGTAGTCCCCTCTACTTGGGAGGCTGAGGCAGAAGAACAGCGTGGAACCGGGAAGCGGAGCTTGCAGTGAGCCCAGAATGCACCACTGCACTCCAGCCTGGGCGACAGAGCAAGACTCCCTCTCAAAAAAAAAAAGAAAAAAAAAAAAATATATATATATATATAAGCATCTATAAATTCAAAAGGGAGATCTTTCAAAGCCTGGTTAGACCAACATGTAAATGAACATGTTAATAATTGTTAATAGGTTGTATGGAAACCTTAGTTCCGTGTGAAGGTGGCATGTTACTGCTTTTTTTTCTTTTTAGATAAATGACATTTCTTTCTTTTTTTTTTTTTTTTTAAGACGGAGTCTTACTCTGTTACCCAGACTGGAGTGAAGTGGCATGCTCTCTGCTCACTGCAACCTCCACTTACCTGGTTCAAGCAATTCTCCTGCCTCAGTGTCCCCTAGTAGCTGGAATTACAGGTTTACACCACCATGCCTGGCTAATTTTTGTATTTTTAGTAGAGACGGGGTTTCGCCATGTTGGCCAGCCGGTCTCGAACTCCTGACCTCAGGTGATCCACCTGCCTCAGCCTCCCAAAGTGTTGGGATTACAGGCATGAGCCACCGCCCCCAGCCTAGATAAATATTTCTGTTTAAATTCTGTGCAAAATTCTATAGCAAAATATATGCATTATCTCATCATTTTATTCCTATCAAGACATAGAATATTTAGGAAGATTGGAGGATTTTAGGGATTGATTTTTTTAAACATGATAACTTGTTTGCTGTTGAGTTGTTCAGAATTTTTAGGATTTAGGAAATCTTTGTTTCAGAAAGATTTAGGAAGAATCTTTTGTGACTATTAGCAAATTAAAAATGGCTGAAATAGGCCGGGCATGGTGGCTTATGCCTGTAATCCCAGCACTTTGGGAGGCCAAGGCGGGCAGATCATGAGGTCAGGAGATAGAGACCATTCTGGCTAACACAGTGAAACCTCGTCTCTACTAATAATACAAAAAAATTAGCTGGGCATGGTGGTGGGCACCTGTAGTCTCAGCTACTCGGGAGGCTGAGGCAGGAGAATGGCGTGAACCCAGGAGGCAGAGCTTGCAGTGAGCCGAGATTGCACCACTGCACTCCAGCCTAGGTGACAGAGCGAGACTCCGTCTCAAAAAAAAAAAAAAAATGCTGAAATAAGCTGAATGTGGTGGCTGGCAGTTATAATTCCAGTGATTCTGGTGGCCAAGGTGGGAGGATCACTTGAGCTTAGGAGTTCAGAGTTACAGTGAACTATGATCGTGCCACTGCACACCAGCCTAGGCAGCAGAGTGAGACCTCATCTCTAAAAAACAAAAAACAACAAAAGAAATTGACCAGAATGTATCAACTTTTGTTGATTTGAAATATATTTTGCTAAAACTATATATGTAAATATATATATTTTTTAATTTTTAATTTTTTTTTTTGAGATTGGGTCTTGCTTTGTTGCCCAGGCTGGAGTCCAGTGGCATGCTCATAAGCTCACCGTAGCCTTGATCTCCTGGGCTCAAGTGATCTAATCCTCCTGCCTCAGCTTCCCCAATAGCTGGGACGACAGGATGCACCACCATGCCTGGCTAATTTTTTTTATTTTTATTTTTAGTAGAGATGAGATCTTACTATGTTGCCCACGCTGGTCTTGACCTCCAGCGCTCAAGTGATCCCACCTTGGCCTCTCAAAGTGCTGGGATTACAAGTGTGAGCCACCAAGCCCAGCCTAAAGCTATGTTTTAAAGTCAGTGTTTCGTTTGGTAGTAAATAATAGCATGAAGTTTACATTAGGTACTGTTTACCAGTTATAAGTTTCAACATATTCTTTTAGGTAAAGCCTGCTTTTCTACAATTATGTGTATATATATATATTTTACAAATTATTATTATCCCAAACATTAAGTTCAGTGGATGCTTTTTTTCTTTAACTTGCTTGCGTTTGATACTGTTCACTAGTTCTATTTTGTATCTCTCCTCTTTTCCTCAACTAATTATGCTGATTGGGTTTGTTTCATGTCCCTGTTTTAATTATTATTTAATTATTCCTTCTTTTTTTTTTTTTTTCCCCAGCTTCAATTCTTCTGTCACTCCCTCAAGTGAACACTGGCTGTTGTTTAGTTCTGGGTCATCTCTCTTTTTCCCTGTCTGTGCTCATTTACTGTGGCTTCAACTGTTATCTTTAAAATACATAGTTAATGTAGTTCATTTTCTTGAATTTGAATCTTAAATTTATAACCATCTACTGGAAATTTCCAGTAGCACATCTTACTAGCTCCAACTTTTTAACATATGTAAACCAAACCTTTCTAAATCTTCCAACTTGCTCTGACTTACTTCTGTCCAAGATTCTATCCACATTTAGCTTCCAGGCCTTAAAACGTTGATCATTAATGGCTTCTTTTTTTTCTACGTACCCAATTAGATGCTAACTTTCATGGGACTTTGGAAGATGTGTTTGGAAAAAAGTTCTAGGTTAAATGAAGAAAGGTTAGTTCTTTCAAAAAATGGTGCTGGAATACTCTATTCATATGCAAAAAAGTTGAGTCTTGACCCTTACAGATTTGCAAAAATTAACTTTGAATGGATCATAGACTTAAATGTAAGAGAAAAAACTAAAAACTTCTAAAAGGAAACATAAAAGAAAATATTTGTGATCTTGGGTTAGGCAAAGTTTTTTTTAGCTGGGCACGGTGGCTCACGCCTGTAATCCCAGCACTTTGGGAGGCCGAGGCAGGCGGATCACGAGATCAGGAGATCGAGACCATCCTGGCTGACATGGTGAAACCCCATCTGTACAAAAAATACAAAAAAATTAGCTTGGCGTGGTGGCATGTGCCTGTAGTCCCAGCTACTCAGAAGGCTGAGGCAGGAGAATTGCTTGAACCCGAGAGGCGGAGGCTGCAGTGAGCCAAGATTGCGTTACTGCACTCCAGCCTGGGCGACAGAGCAGGACTCAGTCTCAAAAAAAAAAAAAAAAATTTTTTTTTTAGATAGGACACAAAAAGTACGAACAATAAATTAAAAAATTGATGAAAAAATTGTTAAATTGGACTTGATAAAAATTAAAAACTTTCACTGTTAAAAATATATCAAGAAAACTTACAAAGCACAGATTGGCAGAAAATATTTTTACAAAGCAAGTTTTGTAAAATATTGCTTTGTAAAAATAAAGCAAGTTTAATAAAGGACTTTTATTAAGTATATATAAAGAAATCTTACAATTTAATGGTAATAAAACAACCTGCTGGGCTTCGTGGCTCATGTCTGTAGTCCGAACACTTTAGGAGGCCGAGGCAGGAGTATCACTTGAGTCCAGGAATTGAATGGGTAACATTGAGCTGTGATCATACCACTCCAGCCTGGGCAACATAGTGAGATCCTGTGTCTGCAATAAACAAACAAATGAAAAAACTAGCTGGGGATGGTGGTGCTTACCTATAGTCCTAGCTGTTCAGGAGGCTGAGGTGGAAGGATTGCTTGAGCCCAGGAGTTCAAGGCAGAAGGTACACTATGATGGCAACACTGCACTCCAGCCTGGGAAACAACGTGAGAGCCTGTCTCAAAAAAAAAAAAAAAAAAAAGAAAGAAAAGCTAATTTTAACAAAAGGTCAGATCTGAGTAGATACTTTCCCAATGATTATATGTATGGTAAATAAATAGATGAAAAGATGCTCACCATCATAGTTCTCAGAGAAATGCAGATTAAAACCTCACAGAGATGCCACTAAATACACAATAGAATGACTAAGATAAAAATGACTGAAAATATCACACCTTGGCAAGAATGTGTAGAAATTGCAATCGTCATTACAACCCACATACATTCTTATACATTGGAATGTAATATGGTACTTTATACTTTGAGGAACAGTTTAGCAGTTCAGAAATTAGACAACATCTTGACCATATGATAAAAAATACCATCACTAACGAGGGGCAGGTAAATATCATGTGCCTTCTTTTTGTGACACCTTGAAATTTCACCTAATATATCTGATGAGAATGCATAATCTAAATTTAGTCATGAAGAAACATCAGGCACATCCAGATAAGGGATGTTCTATTGAAAAGGTTGTTCTATTACACAGGATTCTTTCACCTGTGTAAACTGGTAAAAGACAAAAAGATGGTAGAGATAGATATTCCAAATTAAATGAGGCAAAAGAGATATAACAGGGAAATGCAATCAATACCTAACTTAGATGGGGTCCTGAATTAGAGAAAAATAGGCTCTAAAGGCTGCTATTGAGTCAGTTGACAAAAGTGGAATATGGACAATAGATTAAAAAATCAGTGTTACAAAAGTTGATAATTATGTTGAGGTTATATAAGAAAATAACCCTGTTCTTAAGACACACACACTGAAGAGCTTAGGGGCAAAGGGCTATGATATATGTACTTTATTCTCTGAATAATTTTAGAAAAAATTTTGTGTATAGAGAGAATGACCTTGTGTGCACAAGCAAAGGATGAAGCAAGTGGAGCAAAATCTTAATAGGGAATTAATAAAGAATCTTTGTATGTTCTTGGTATTATTACTGTAACTTCTCTGTAAGTCAGAAATTATCTCCCAATAGTTAAAAAAAAACTTTTTATTTTATTTATTTATTTTTAAAGTGCTTTGGCTTAAGGATTTAAAGAACTTTTTGTTTGCTTGCCTTTGTTTTTTGCCGGGGAGGGGGTGTATATGGAGGGTGGTGGTAGTTTTTCATTTTCTTTTTATTTCAGATATTTTAAAGTATATTGTAGGCTTTTTGGGGAAGTTGGGAGAGGCAGTAGGCAGGCATATTTATGATCAATCTTAAGTTTGAATTTCACAATTTGATAAGTGAGATTGAAAACTAAATGTGGGCTAAGTCTACATGTTGATAATTAGGCTAAAAATACTGTGATACAGATATGCTCATTGAAATTTTTTTAAAAGAATCTGCAAAATGGCTGATAATTTGGATGAATTTATCGAAGAGCGAAAAGCCAAATTGGCCAAAGACAAAGCAGAGTTGGAAAGTGATCCACCTTACATGGAAATGAAGGTAAACTTAATAATTTTCTTTGAACATGTTTTATTGTAATTGTCTATGGAGATTACTCCTGTGTAAATGCAAAATATCCTCTTCTATGAGTGAGAATCTTCTGTTTCGTTCTATGCTGTCATTCTGGGAGCCTAACTCCAGACAGGATTGCAATAATTTTGAATGCAGTTTTTATTTTGTGGTGGTTTATATCTCACAGTGTTTCTCTTATCTCTTGTTGAAGAATTATTTGGTTTATAAAATGATTATGAGACCAGTTCCATTACAAAGAACTTCCGCAACATAAACAGAATAGTTGTAAAAGCAAGTTCTTATGGTCTGTGTGAAAAAATTCGATTTAATTAGTTTAAAAAGTTTTTTTGAAATCTACAAAAGTGAGTTTATTAATTTATTTCGTACTATTTGTATTTCTTAATATAAATTTCTTAAAATAATTGCTTTTTTTTTTTTTTTTTGAGATAGAATCTCGCTCTGTTGGCCAGACTGGACTGTAGTGGTGTGATCTCAGCTCACCACAACCTCCGCCTCCCAGGCTCAAGTGATTCTTCTGCCTCAGCCTCATGAGTAGCTGGGACTATAGGTGCCCGCCACTATGCCTGGCTAATTTTTGTATTTTTAGTAGAGTTGAGGTTTCTCTATGTTGGCCAGGCTGGTCTTGAAGTCCTGACCTCGAGATCCACCCACCTCGGCCTCCCAAAATGCTGAGATTACAGGCGTGAGCCACTGCACCCAGCCTAAAATAATTGTTTCTTAAAGCAATGTCTGAAAGGCTTTCTTAAAGCTTTCCTTGTTTAGGTGAAACTGATTTATCCATTTAGCAAATACTTACTGAGATTGTGTTAGGTACTATGCTAAGCTCTGAGAATACAGCCCTGATTAGAGTGTTGTGGCACCTTCTCAGGGCTCAGTGTGTGTAATTAGATACAGCATGTAGTTTAATCTGTGTCATATGGTTCATCATAATGAAAGTCACCATATATATTGGTTTGTTCAAGATGATCCTGGTTTACCTGTTGTCCAGTGTTTTTTTCTGGTTTAGCATTTGTCCTGGACAAAGGTATCTTGGCTGAAATGACAAATACTATAGATGCCCTAATTACAATTTTACATGGCTAACATTTATTGAGTACTAGCTATGGACAAGGCATATTCTTAAGAGGTTATATTTCACAGTAATCTATGAGGTAAGTGCTGTTACTGTAATTTTCCAGATGAGTAAACTGAGGCAAGTTAAGTAATGAGACTAAAGCAGTAGAGTTGGTGGAACTAGACTTTGATCCCTGGCAGCCTGGCTCCAGTGCTTGTCCTCGGAACCAACATAATAGGTTGCCTTTCTTCCATAATAACCTGTCATATACCAGGAATGCCAAGGACTTTATATATATCATTTTATTTAATCATAATATCCCTGTTAAGTAGGTGAAAATTTTTTGTTTTATGGATTAAGAAAGTGAAGCTCACAGGAGTTAAGTGATTTGTCCAGGTCCACACAGTGGTGGATTGAGGAGTAGAACCTTTATGCAGCTCCAGAGTCTATCTCTTAACCACTCTCCAGTGTTTAGGACCAGCTTATGACTTTGGAGTTACATAATTTGGAGTACATAGCTTTAAAGACAGTTTTGCTATAATTTCTAATATTAATTTGTACATAAGTAATTTTAAGTCTTGGTTCAAGTATCACCTGCTCAGTGAGGCCTTGTAGTCCCTCCCCCACCATTTCTGGGCCTCCTTACTTTAATCTGTTTTCTTTTCCCATAACCCCTTGCTGCCACTGTCTATATATCACGTAATCTAATCATGAATTAATTATGTGTCCCCCCAATAGTTTATAAGCTTCATGATGGCAGAAATTCTTGTATTTTTTAAAACTTCCATACTTTCAACGCTTGACAAAATGTTTGGCACTTAATAGGAACTCAGTAAATATTTGTTGGTAAGTGAATGAGTTAAATATTAGCATATCTGTTATAAAATCAAATACCTCTGGTTAATTCTTCAAACCTTACACTTAGTTTCTTTTATGATGTACTGTGTAATTTCATCAAGCTGTTTAATTAAAATTTGAGGTGGGTTGTATATTTCATGGTTTTTTTTTTTCCCCTTTGATTTTGTAAACTTTATGTCTCTTTCAGGACAAGTTGTCAGAGAAGCTTTCTGAAAACAGTAAGATACTGATCTCTATGGCTAAAGAAAACATACCACCAAATAGTCAACAGACCAGGGGTTCCTTAGGTATGTCATTAGATGTGCTAAACTTATTTTAAGATATTCTTAGTGGGCTCTTCTGAAAGAGGTTTGTCTTATCAGAAAAAAAGATTTATTTGGAATCCTAGTAATTTTTCTTTCTGGAATCTTATATAAGTCAATATGGTCTACATATGAAATATAACTCATACTGAAAATTTTGTACTTGTTTTATGTAATACTGCATTAGTTATGATTTGTGGAACTTATAGAAGTAGTTGTATATAACATAACTTAAAAATTGAAAACTTTGAAAGGAATTTGTGTGTGTGTGTGTGTGTGAGTACGAAGGAGAGAGAGAGAGAAGAGAAACTTTTATTTGTTGACTGAAAATGGTGAACTTGCTTATTTAAAAATTAAATATGCTTAAAGGGTACAAAATGCTGTTTGGTGAAAGACTGTTTTAATTATTGATGATCATGTTGGAGTTGTAAAGAAGTTAACACTGTAGCCATACTAATGCTTTGATTATGGTATGGTATGAAAATATTTGGAAACTTTTTACCACATTTTGGCTTGTTGGTAGGTATACATTTTAAAAAAAGAAAATGTATGAATATGTAAAAATTTTTGTTTATTTATTAAATACAGGGTCTCTCTCACCCAGGCTAGAGTGCAGTGGCATGATCATAGTTCAGTATTACCTTGAACTCCTGGGTTCAAGCAATCCTCCTGCCTCGGCGTCCCGAAGTACTACAATTATAGGCCTGAGCCACTGTGCCCAGTCTGTATGAATATATATATATATATATATTTTTTTTCCCCCAAGGTTGAGTCTGGCCCTGTTGCCCAGGCTGGAGTGCAGTGGCATGATCTCGGCTCACTGCGACCTCTACCTGCTCCCAGGTTCAGGCGATTATCCTGTCTTAGCCTCTCAAGTAGCTGAGATTACAGGTGCATGCCACCACACTCAGCTAATTTTTTATATTTTTGGTAGAGACAGGGTTTCGCCATGTTGGCCAGGCTGGTCTCGAACTCCTGACCTCAGGTGATCTGCCCACCCACCTCGGCCTCCCAAAGTGCTGGGGTTACAGGCGTGAGCCACTGTGCCTGATCTGTATCTGTATGAATATTTTTAATGTGCATTTTGTGATTTATTGATGATGACAAACTTTTTCACAAAAAGAAAGTCAACTATGATAAGTTCATTTGGATAAAGCATTGTTCTCAAATGGACAGCTTTTCATGTCTGTAGGTATCTCCTAAATTGTTTTTGTGTGCCAGTGGATACAAGGGGATGCCAGCCAAGAAACTGAATGGTTAGTAAGCTTTGTCTCTCCATTAGACAAATAGCTCAAAGTGAGTGCCCTACTTTTAATATCAGATATACGGATAACTTTCCATTTTGAATCTCTTATAAATTATTAATATGTAACATGAGTGAACTAAAGTATTATATATTGGTAAAATTTTTTAATCTCTAAGGCTCTCAATTTTTTTTTTCTGTGAAATAAGTTTGATTATCTTCCAGTGCTACGTTTTTATGAATCTAAATTTTAATTATTCCAAGAGATAATTTTTAAAAAGTTTAATAGTAGGTTATCTCAAGCACTAAGGTCGCTAAGGTTCATCAGAATCCGTTTTAAATTCTAGGGTTACAGCTTGCTTTGGATTGGGCTGTGGCGCCTTTATAACCTCTCAGGAGCTAAACTTTGTTTCCTTATGACATCTATCTCAAAAAGTCGTTATGGGTGAAAGTTAAATATGTGAAAAGATGGCTGGCACATAATTGGTACACAATAAATATTAATTTCTTTTTCTCCTTTACATCTTTTTTTTTTTCTTTTTGGTGAGACAGGGTCTTACTCTGTCACCCAGGCTGGAGTGCAGTGGCATAATCTTGGCTCACTGCAACCTCCACTTTCCAGGCTTAAGTGATTCATCCTCCCTCCTCAGCCTCCAAGTAGCTGAGACTACAGGTGAGCACTACCATGCTGGCTGACTTTTTTATATATACATATATTTTCTGTAGAGGTAGCATTTTGCTGTGTTGCCCAGGCTGGTCTCGAACTCCCTAGCTCAAGCCATCCGCCTGCCTCGGCCTCCCAAAGTTCTGGAATTACAGGTGTGAGCCACTTGTGCCTGGCCTTCCATCTTTTTAAAAGTAGTTTTTCGGGCTGGGCATGGTGGCTCATGTAATCCCAACACTTTGGGAGGCCAAGGCCAGCAGATCACTTGAGGTCAGGAGTTCAAGACCAGCCTGGCCAACATGGTGAAACCCCGTCTCTAAAAAAATACAAAAAAATTAGCCCAGCATGGTGGCGCAAGCCTATAATCCTAGCTACTTGGGAGGCCGAGGTGGGAGGATCACTTGAACCTAGGAGGTGGAGGTTGCTGTGAGCTAAGATTGTGCCCCTGCATTCCAGCCTGGGCGACAGAGGGACTCCATCTCAATTAAAAAAAAAAAAATGTAGGTTTTTGAATTGTCTTAGGAATTATTCTTTGATCATTACATTCACATATGATGGAGAGTTAAAAGTATAACTAAAAGATGGTGACCTTTGCCTTTTCATTAATTGGTGTTACCTGGGCCTCTGACCTAGGCCGACTTCTCATCTTATACACTCCCCGAGTGTCCATATCCGCTCACAGGGCTTTATTTACTATTAGTGTGTTCATGACTTCTGAATCTTTATCCCAGTCCTAGGTTCTATTGCGAACTTGATCCATATGTCTGATTTTCTATTGGACATCTGTACTTGTATGGTCACGTATGGCATGGGCTCAAAATCAAAATTTGCAAAATTAACTTATACTCATGTCAAACTTTCAAGTGCTCCCCATCTCACTGAGCTAGCTGCTTAGTCATCCTTGATTCCTGTCTTCTCCTGTCTCCTATATCAAGCAGTTACACAAGTCTAGTTGATTCTGATGCGTAAATCTCAAATAAGGTCACTTGACTGTAATCCCACTGACTTTCTTTTATGCAGGCCTCTGTTGTCTGTAAGATTTTTGTAAAAGCTTCCTAGTGTTTTTGGTGGTTGTTTTGTTTTACAGTCTAGCCCCCTCTACCAAATCGCTGTGTGTTTTTTATATATTTGCATAAAACAAATCTGATCATATTAGTCTCTGCGTCAAACTTCTTTTTTTCTTGTATGATAAATGTTCCATCTTATTATTTCTGCTAGATTGGGTTGGTCAATCCTGTCATGTGCTTCTAGAGGATTGGTTTTCCTTTTGAAGAGTAGTTTTGAACTCATTCAGCTTCTCTTTTGTACCACAGTGACATGCTAACTTGCCTCCTATTGTATTTCCACTGCCTAGCACAGTGTGCAGCACTTACTGCTTGGAAAAGATGTTTTAAACCAACGAGTTAATGTCCCCATTGCAAAAATAAAACCAATTCTCTTCGGTGTGTTGACTTTGATTTTCATCGAATGCTTCTTCCATTGCCATCTGAAACCATAATTAATAATTTTTGATGCACATGGAATTTTATTAAAGAGCAGTATATAATTTGACTAATTTTATACAGCATAAGCTTTAGTTACTGACCTCCTGCTTGATTAATTGTGGCTTTAAAATTCAGTCAAATACATAGTTTCTCACACTGGGAAAAATGTAAAATTATTTGGCAACTAAGGGTTTTCCTTAAGTGGTCTCATTTAGGAATTATAAAAAAACAGGTCTAATGTAGGTCAAATTTGGAAATGAGGTATTGACTTAAAGCACTGTAATATCATAGTTTGAATAAGTAATTAAGCATAGTGTAGTAATCAGTGATATATAAACTGGACATACTCATTTTATCCAATGAAAACAATCTTTGATAGCTCATAGTAGAACTATCATACAACACTATGATTTTATAAATTCTTTTCTGTTAGTTACTGATGATATTCATGGTTAATTCCATGTGACTCTTTCTACCACTATTTATACCTTTCATAAAAGGATTCGAGGTAGCATTACAGTGACTTGGACTAGACTTCACAGGTTAAGGGCATAGGCCTCCACAAGACTGCCTTCACTTTAGACTCCAGTTGCAAATCCAAGGGTCACCAGGACACCCTCAGGTCTGACCATCTGGCTATAAATTTGGGGGTTTCCCCTATCCCCTCAAGTTCAATAATTCATAAGAATGACTCACAGAACTCAAGAAAGTGCTATATTTAATGGTCACAGTTTTATAGCATAAGTATACAAATCAGAACTAGCCAAAGGGAGAGACAAATAGGGTAAGGTCTGGGAGGGTCCAAACATGAAGTATCTGTTAGTCTCAGGGAGGCATTACCCTCCTGGCACATCACTATGTGACAGGATACAGCATATTGCCAACCAGCCTCACCTGAGCCTGAGTGTCCAGAGTTTTTACTGGATTTTCCTTATGTAGGAATGATTGGTTGAATCATTGCTTCTTGGCTTGATCTCCAGCCCTGCTACATTCATTCCCCTTGCGCCTGGCTGATGTCACCTGGCACAAAGGCCCAACCCTCAAATCACATGGTTGGTTTTTCTGGCATGACCAGCTCCCATTTTTGTCATCTCTGTAGTGTAAACTCTCTGGGGGTTCACAATGATTGACTTTGTTAGTATAAACTGTTAGGTGTGGTCCAGGGTACCCACTGTGAATAACAAAGATGTTCCCATCATCAGGTAAATTTTAAGGTCAAACCCACTAGGGGCTCACAATGATTTACCTTGTTAGTGTAAACTATTAGGTGTGCTCCAAGGTGCCCACCGTGAATAATAAAGACCTTCCCATTGTGTGGAAAATTTTAAGGATTTAGAGGTTACTTCTCAGGAAATAGAGGCAAAGGCCATTTACTTTTTTTTCTTTTTTCTTTTCCAAGCCAAGAGAAAGTAACAGTCCAGTTTTTTTATTACATGTAGGATGTACATGATTTAGTTCATATAAGCTAATGAAACAATGTCTTTAATAAGGAGTTTGTCAGAATAACTTAGATACTAGTAATATTAAGAGAAAGTCACCTAAAAGTGATCTATAAAAGATCTTTTATCTCCCATAAACTGTTTCTAGGCATAATATTTGTGTTTATTTCATTAAAAGAAATTCTTACTAACTTATTGTTTAACAACCATTACTGTTGTTAACAATAATCAATATTGTTGAGAAATACTTACATTAATCTTTTAAATGCTCCCATTAATCTTTTTAAAATGATACAAATTTGTGAAGGTCCTAAAACATATAGTTCCCCCCACCACCCAGTTTTTTTAAGGGAGAAGATCTTGCTCTGTCATCCAGGCTGGTGTGCAGTGCCACCATAATAGCTTACTGTAGCTTAAAACTCCTGGGCTCTGGGGATCTTCCTGCCTCAGCCTCTCGACTAGCTAGGACTATAGGCTCAGGCCACCATGCCCGACTAATTTTTAAATTTTTTGTAAAGATAGAGTCTTGCTATGTTGCCCAGGCTGGTTTTGAACTCTTGGGTTCAAACGATCCTCCCTTCTCTGGCTCCTAAGTAGTTGAGACTATAGGTTTGTGCCACTGCATCTGTCTAATTATAGTTTTAATTACTTGTTTTGAGATGGAGTCTCGCTCTGTTGCCCAGCCTGGAGTGCAGTGGTGCTGTCTCGGCTCACTGCAACCTCTGCCTCCTGGGTTCAAGTGATTCTCCTGCCTCAGCCTCCTGAGTAGCTGGGATTACAGATGCCTGCCACCACACCCAGCTACTTTTTTTGTGCTTTTCATAGAGACGGGGTTTCACTATCTTGGTCAGGCTGGTCTCGAACTCCTTACCTCAAGTAATCCACCCACCTCGGCCTCCCAAGGTGCTGGGATTACAGGTGTGACCCACAGCACCCAGGCTTATAGTTTTAATTATCAGTCCTCTTTGTCTTAGGTTTATCCTGTTGTAAACTAAATCACAGATACTCTTCTACAGTTTTTATTCATTTTGTATGAGTCAAATGGGTCCTTGTAGTAATACCTTTATAGCTGTAATTTAAGAGTGCAGTGTCTCCTCAATTAGTCACATCTCCTTGTAAGTCACCCATTATGTAAAGGCCTATTATTATGTCCTATAATTTGTCTTTCGATTATTTTTACATAATGCTTTTTATGATAGTATAATAATGAAAAGAAAGTAAAAGTTCCATGGTAATTTGTTTCATAGAGTAATTATGATGAATGCCCTGTTAGAAGGTAAGTTAATTTTAAAGAAGTTATATACTTTAGTCTTAAGTATTTTATGTAAGCCATAACTGCTATAGAAACCAAATACTTCTAATTACTATAGTTCTGAAGTATAATGTTAACTATCTTAGGGTCATTGATGTTATACTTGATGAAGTGACATCGCTTCAAATGACCCTAAAGTGACATGAATGCTTTACTTGCTACTAGATCCACCAGAAGACAACAGCCCAATAAGTAAGCCTCACCGTGTTCCTTAGCTCATTAAGTCAATTGACATGTTATTGTTAATGCATGGTTTAAAAGAATAGGATATTTACATTGTTCTATACAGTTCCTAATTTTGTATCTGTGACTTAGCTCTAACGCCATAAAATGGTACAAGACGACAAAAATAAGAATGAAAAAGTTAGTGTTTTCTGTTGACTAAACATTAAATTAATAAAGTTATAAATAACTTAGAAGAGATTATATATTTATATATATTTTATTATATAAAATTGTTAAGACAATTTTATAATACTATTTGAATTAATAGTGAAAAGCAAATACTGTTAGTAAATAAAACTTTAACTTAATATGAATAATAGGCTGGGCGCAGTGGCTGATGCCTGTAATCCCAGCACTTTGAGAGGCCGAGGTGGGCGGATCATGAGGTCAGGAGTTTGAGACCAGCCTGGCCAATATGGTGAAACCCTGTCTCCACTAAAAATACGGAAATTAGCCAGGGGTGGCAGGTGCCTGTAATCCCAGCTACTTGAGAGGCTGAAGCAGGAGAATCACTTGAACCCAGGAGGCGGAGGTTGCAGTGAGCCAAGATTGCGCCACTGCACTCCAACCTGGGCAACAGAGCGAGACTACTTCTCAATATATATATATATATATATATATATGTATATATGAGTAATAATTTAAATGAAAATGAATTATGTTTTTCTTTCCATTCTTCCACATAAACCCACCCAGTAGAATTGAAAAACAGCAGTAAAAGCCACCTTAAACATATGCTTTTTGTAAATTTGTAAATTGCTTATTCCTGGATGGGAAGGCAGTGTGTTGGCATCATCCTGGCAGCATTGTTGTCTTTTTCTCCTTGGCATAATAGAACATCCATTGTGACCCTGTGTGACTAGTGATATGTAACTTTGGTAACTAACTGTCTCTGTGCAGTCAGACCGCTAACAGGAGAAATGGAATATTAAGTATAGTATATTGTTCCCCCTCACCTTTTCTCATTTCTTTCTCTGGCTCAGGCACTCATGCGTATATTCATTTGCAGATTTATTCGATGAACATTTTCTTGGGTTAAAGTTATGTGCCAGCATTATAAAATTGAATAGTGCGTGGACCTTGCCTTCATAGATTTTATAGTTTAGTTTTATATATGATGTTCCATTCTGAACATGAGAATCGAAACTTTCTCTCCTTAGGCTTAAATTCTGTATCTTTAAAAAAAGGTTTAGATTCCTTCAAGAGGAAACAGTTCCTTTCTAGGATGATTTAAAATTCCCAGCATATGGAATGCTTTAGTTTCTTTTGGAAGAGAGTTAGAAGCATGTGTAAGAGGTGTCCCTAAGGAATCCTCTGTTATACCCTCTATCATCAAGGAGTTAAATAGGCCAGAAATGTTTATAAAGAGAATTCCAGTGTTGATAGCGGTAAATGGATTTTAGTATTCTGTAAGAATCCATAAACATCCACTTATGTTTATATTACGCTGGTCTTTTCCCTGCCTGAAATGTTTCAGTGATGTAGTAAAGCAGTGATATGACACATTTTTGAAAAGTTCCCATCATTCAGCTACATTGTGAGAAATAAGGCACAAATGGTGATTTTTTTATATCAGTTTATAAGCTACAGTCAAATTTTATTTCATCTGTAGTGCTCATAGCTGAATCTTTAAGGAAAGTTTTGGCCGGGTGTGGTGGCTCATGCCTGTAGTCTTGGCTACTCAGGAGGCTGAGATGGAAGGATTGCTTGAGGCCAGGAGGTTGAGGCTGCATTGTGCCATGATCACGCCGCTGTACTCAAGCCTGGGTGACAGAGCAAGACCCTGTCTCAAAAAAAAAAAAAAAAAAAAAAAATGTCTCAAAAAAAAAAAAAAAGACAAGTTTTATTTTGTTTAGAAATGATAATTTTTTAATGCTATAGTATTATGTGTATAGTGGAACTAAAAAAGGAATGAAGCTTCAGAAATCTAAATACTCATCTAATGTCTATGCTTCTTGATATAGTATTTTATTATTGAAGATTTGAAAAGTATATAATTTGATTTTTGATAGCTTTCTTGAGATATAATTTATACACCATAACATGTACCTATTTAAAGTCTACAATTCAATGGTTTTTAGTATATTTACAAGTTGTACAGTCATCATCATCATCATCCTTAAATGTAATTTGATTTTTAAATTTTGTGTAAGGAAACACTACTCAAATTCAAAATTTTTCTTCAAAAATTAACATGCATTTATGGAGTTTCTGTTTGGGATGATGAAAAAATTCTGGAAATGGATAGTGGTGATGATTGTACAACATTGTGAATGTACTTAATGCCACTGGATTATATGCTTGAAATGATTAAAATGGTAGGTTTTATATTATATATATTTTACCATTATAAAAATTAATACCCATTTTTGTGAAATCAGAAGTGGTTTAACTTCAGAAGTTTTTAGGAATTTCATCCTATCTGAATGCTCTTTGATAGAAAACTAAAAAAAAAAAGAAATGTCATCCTAAGCAACACATGGCCCTAATAATTTTTTCTCAGAAACATGTTATATTAACGATATTCTTATATGCTAAGAAAATCAGGTTACTGGTTTTCTTAGACTGAAAATGATGCATTAAAATTGTTGTTGGTATTTATTTTTATAGAAATTAGTATATAATTAAGTGAAGAAGTAAAGATAATTAGCTTTGCTTTAATTTTGCTGTTCTTGAGAAAGCAAGATGCCAAACAATGCTGGACTACTTATCTTAATGGGGGAAAAAGTAAATGTAATGCACACATGCATATAAATATGTATATGATAATATTAAAGTATCTGTTTATAGATGCATTAAAAAACTCTGCATGGAGACAAGAAATAACAATGTTGTTCTGGACAGGAGAACAGGGTGGCTAGGGCTCATGGATGAGAATGATATTTTTGATAATATTTTTGATTATGTGAATGTATTATCTATTGAGACATTTTAGTAAAAAACTTACCCTAATCCTAGTCTCCGAATCAGCATAATTGTGTTCTTTCTTACTGTGCTTTGTTACAGGAAGTAGAACTTTGAGACTGGGTTTGAAAATGAATTATATTAAGAAGTTGTTTTTTTTCTAGGAATTGATTATGGATTAAGTTTACCACTTGGGGACGACTATGAACGGAAGAAACATAAATTAAAAGAAGAATTGCGTCAAGATTACAGACGTTATCTTACTCAGGTAACGAGTTCTATTAATGAGTTGGGTTTAATGTTTCAGAATTCAGCTCCTAAATTTGTTTTCATAAGGTATTAGTCATAGGTGTTAATGTTTAGGTTTTCAGTGGTACTAGCAAAGTAGTATTATAGTCAAAGTTAAGTGGCATATATGACATTGATAGAGAAAAAATATTGCTGAGAACTTGCGCCATAGATTAATACAGACTTTTGACCTTTTGACTAAGGCAGTGGATTCTAATTTTAAGTGAGATCGTTAATTATGGTTTTTCATGTTTTCTGTAAAGTTGTCATGGTTTGAAGTAGTTCAATCATGGTTTCCCTCTCTTCTACACCCCCCAACTATGTATTAAAATGACATGTGGAGTTCTAGTTGCTAATTGTTTTCCTATGAGCCAAGCTTATACAATTACATTTAATTATTTAGCCACTAAAGCTTTTGTTTTATGATCTCATGTTTTACTTAGTAGAACTCTTTAGTGTTTTTGTTAAATTATATAATGGCCGATGTAAAGCTTTATTGTAAGTTTTAAATTTAGGTTATAAAATTATTATAAACAATCACGATGTTTGTTGTGATCTCAAGATATTCTTTAATTTTTTACTGCTTTATGTTTGTTCCAAATGTACAAACTGTCTCTTATTTATTCTGATTTACACACGGAGAGAATGAACTTTGACTGAATACACTTTGTCAATGGTTTGTTTCCCTTGACTTTAGGGCATTACACAAGGGAAAAGAAAGGTAGGGTTGTCTGCAAAATGTCCTCCTTCAGTTTTTGCTTTCTCTCTTTTTTTTTAATGATCTAGTAGCTTGCAATTGTTTGCATTTATGAGATTCAAACCAATTAGGAAAATGGGTTCATTTGTGATTTTGAGATGTTTGAATGGCACCACTTTGTATTCTTGCTTTTAGCAGATGACAGCGTACACATTATAATTTTCTGTTAATATAGTCATTACTTTTGATTCCTGCTTTGCGTTTGTGTTTATTGCTTTCTTATGCGTTCTTTTTGAATATTCTGCAGTTAAGTCTGTTTTTAGCATGCAATTTTTCGTTTCTTAAATTATGCTAATCACAGTAAGATTAATAGAGTAGTAGAATATCCAAGATATTTGAACTACATGTTGTCAGAATTTAGATTACTCTGTTTTTGCAACAAAATCTGTAAATTACATTTGTCCATTTATATTAGAAAACAAAGAGAAACAGTTTATGGTTTTACAAAACTGGTTTTAAAAAGAATCTCACGGATTCACCATTCAACTAACGTATTTTAAACACTTATTATGAAGATGTATCAGGTATGCATCCTGTCTTCAAGAGGCTTAGAATTTAGTTGTAGAGTTAGCATTCATACAATTCAGAAAGTGGTAACTACAAGGAGGATATAATGATCAAGAAAGTCCTCATAGTGGGAATTTCTATTTTGTGAGGCAATCTAGATTTGGATGATCTAGAGAGAGAATCAAAGTCAGAAAGCTTTTCAGATGGAGAGCATAGAGTAAAGGGGGACCCAGAGGGTAGACTTTAGCTTTGTATGAATGAGGCATATTAGCTTTACCAGCCTGACTGGGTCAGAGTATCATTCTTTTTGAGAGTAGTAAGGAATAACGATGTGTATAGGATAGGATCAAATTAGAAGGCAGTGGATTTTTAACTGGTTATATGTGATAGGTAGTGATAAGCATCATACTTTCTTAAATAGCCTGTGAAGAGCATGGTAACTGTGTTTTAAGACAGTTCTGCATGTAGAGACTGTCATCTTTTTGTCTTAAATTGCTGCTCAACTTGTTAACTGATTTCCTTGTGCTAATTTTCACTCCAGGATAAAAATTCAAATTCCTTAGCATGGCACATGTCTTTCATGTTCCAGCCTGACTCCCTGGGCTTATACCTCATTATCTTCCCCTTCGCTACCTCTTCTTCTTAGGTGGAGTTTTCTTCTGGTATCAGATATTTACTATTTTCTCTTGTAGGTTTTGCATTACTCCCTAGGTAAGATTTTTTAAAAAGATAGTGGTGGGGGACATAAGAAGAAATTGCCTTCATGAAAGTAGAAATCTTTAAATTCAAAGGGATGTGAAGGAGTTTTTTTTAGATTTTTTTATTTGTTTTTGTGTGTGTGTGTGTGTGTGTTTTCTGAGACAGTCTTGCTCTGTCGCCCAGGCTGGAGTGCAGTGGTACGATCTTGGCTCACTGCAATCTCCACCTCCCAAGTTCAAGCGATTCTTCTGCCTCAGCTTCCCGAGTAGCTGGGACTACAGGCGTCCACCACCACGCCCAGCTAATTTTTTTGTGTTTTTAGTAGAGCTGGGGTTTCACCTTATTGGCCAGTCTGGTCTCAAACTCCTGACCTTGTGATCTGCCCATTTCAGCCTCCTAAAGTGCTAGGATTACAGGCATGAGCCACCGCACCTGGCCAGTTTTTTAAGATTATTAAGAATATAGTCGGCCAGGCATGGTGGCTCACGCGTGTAATCCCAGCACTTTGGGAGGCAGAGGTGGGCGGATCACGAGGTCAGGAGATCGAGACCATCCTGGCTAACATGGTGAAACCCCGTCTCTACTAAAAATACAAAAAAATTAGCCTGGCGTGGTGGCAGGCGCCTGTAGTAGTGGCAGGTGCCTATAGTCCCAGTTACTCGGGAGGCTAAGGCAGGAGAATGGCGTGAACCCCGGAGGCGGAGCTTGCAGTGAGCCGAGATCAGGCCACCGCACTCCAGCCTGGGCGACAGAGTGAGACTCCATCTCAAAAAAAAAAAAAGAATATAGTCTTGTAGAGGAGCAGTATTGCCTTAAAATGAGAGAGAGTCTTTTGTTCACATTTGAGAAGGTGGGAATGGAAGGGAAAGCAAGAGAAAAATAAAACTACACAGAATATAGGGAGCTGGCTGCAGCTTCCTGGACCCCCTGAAATATGTATGGTTTCCAAGTCCCACTCATATCTCTTGTGGCTTCCAGACTTGGATTGCATGGATATTTGAGTTAAAAAAAGAAAATCAAATCAAATCTTTTAATTTTGCCAAGAAGAGTTATTAAAACAAACAACTACCATCTTTTTTCCTGTTTTAATTAATTTTTTTTTTCCTGAGCCCTTCCTGCCCAGAGATGATTTCCTGTTTTTAGGATAAAAGATGCTTGACCGTCTAAACACAGAAAAGACATGTTCTCACGGGAACAGTTTTTAAATTGAGTCAGTTAATTAATATCTCCAGCCCAGACCTCCATCCTGAACTTCAGACTTTTCTAGCTGGCTGCATAATTCACATTTTCACTTTGAAATCTACCTATTATCTTATGTAGACCATGTCCAAAAGAGAATTCTTGATTTTTGTTCTTCCCACCCTCATGCCTGATAAACCTGCACTATCTGTAGCCTGTCCTTTTAATTTCCTTTTTGTTATAGTAATTATTACCTTCTAGCATGCTGTATAATTACTCTTCATTATGTTTATTATTTCTTTTTCATTTTCCCCAGCTTGAATGTATGCTTTTGGAGGGCAGGAATCTTTATTTGTTTTTTTCAGTCCCAAATGCATCAGAGAGTTTGGGCACATGGTAGGCACTCAGTATTTATTGAATGAATGAGTGAATGAATGAATGATTAAAATTTAGCTTTTTGAAAAAACTCACTATGTTGTTCTTTTTTTAAGAATTAAAAAAAATTTTTTTGATAGAGACAGTATAATAATAATAAAAAAAAGTTTTTTTGTTTTTTTTTTAAATACCCAAACTGATCTCGAACTCTTGGGCTCAAGTGTCCCTTCTGCCTTGGCCTCCCAAAGTGCTGGGATTACAGACATGAGCCACCACTCCCAGCCTATGTTGTTGTTACTGTTTATTCTTTTCATTTTATTGAAAATTTCGAACATCATTCTTGACCCATGTTTGGAATGGGAAATTGACCAATGAAGGAGTGAGGATGTTAAATCTATCTTCCTGGTTGGAACTGTGAATGGGTTTTTCATGCATTTATAACTCTACAAAATAATTAGGTTTATAATGTACTTCAGTATATAGGAGGTAAAATCACTCAGGGATCTGGTCATGTGTTTTATTTTTTCTTTGTCAGATAAGTTTAGAGTTCCATACAGCCAACTTTCAAATTAGCTTTTGTAGCACAACTCATTTGTAAATTCAGATTTAATGACACTTTATTTATTTTTGAGACAGAGTCTCACTCTATCACCCAGGTTAGAGTGCAGTGGTGCTGATCTTGGCTCACTGAAACCTCCACTTCTCAGGTTCAGGGGATTCTCCTGCCTCAGCCTCCCAAGTAGCTGGGACTACAGGCGCGCGGCCCCAAGCCCGGCTAATTTTTTGTGTTTTTAGTAGAGAGGGGGTTTCGCCCTGTTGCCCAGGCTGGTCTGAACTCCTGAGCTCAAGTGATCCACCTGTCTCGACCTCCCAACCTGCTAGGATTACAGGCATGAGCCACCCTGCCTGGCCAGATTTAATGAAACTTTATTAATCACTGAGTTTTGCTAATTACTCTCTTTCCATAATGTTTTGAATACAACGCTATTGTAGTAGTTAATACATTGTTTTGTGGTTATTTGCTTACATATCTGTTTCTGCAACTGAATTGTAAATCCCTTGAATATAGGGAAAATATATTTGTATCCCTACCACCTGAAAATAGTACCTGCATAGTATTAGATGGTTGCTAATTGCTTGTTTAGTGAATAAGTAAAAGGCATGGAATTAGGCAGATTGACAATTATTGATTGATTTAATCCTTATAACCTAGTGATGTGTAGATGACATTATTTCTGTTTTACACACAAGGAAACTGAAGTGAAGTGAAGTATATTATTCCAAATTATTTGACTACTAAGTAACAGTACCAGAAAGTTGGAGATCATATGTATTTTTTTTACCAGTTGGGGATCATGTGTATTTTTTTTTTTTTTTAACCAGTCCTTTGTATTTGCTTTACAGCTTTCAAAGGGATTTTATATTTTTTATCCTCCTTCATCCTTATACCAGCTTTGGTAGGCAGGCAGAGCAGGTACTATTCTCATTTTACAGAAGAAAGTGTCTGTCAGAGAAGTTAAGTGACTTCCTCAGTGTTACACAACTAATAAGTGCTTGGGCTAGTCGTAGATCCTAGGTCTTTTGACTGCTAGTCTAATGCTGCCTCTACTACACTGCGTTACTTAAATGCTTAGTGAACAAGATTGGAGGAACACATAAACAACATTCATAATTTATATCTATTGGCATTTCAGTAGATATTCACTCACATAATTATAGGAAAAATAGAAAAAAACTGTTGTGGCATGCATTAAGGTATTTGTGAGGAAGTTTAATTTGCCTTGAGAACAAAAAGACAGTAGAGCACTGATAATGAAGAGTATGTGCTTAGAAGACGAATATAAATTGGGAAAGTTTTTCTTCATGCTTCTAATCATCTTGAATCAATAGACATATATATATTGTAAATGAAAATTAAGGCCTGATTTTCCCTTTCAGGAAGTTGTTGATTGGAAGAAAATTCTCTTTTTTCCAAATGCTTTTGGTATGGTCTATATAGATTTGTAGTTTCTGTCTTCATTCCATTTCATTCGTTTGCTTTGCATAATGTAATACTAGTTTAGAATATAAAATGCAAAGACACATTTATGCAACATTTTATAAAGGCAATTAGGTAATATATTTTTTAATGTGTATATATACAGACAAATTTTCTATCTACGAGTGAAACAGATCCATCTACTTTGGGAGTTTCTCTTCCTATTGGTGAGAGGTTATCTGCTAAGGTAGGTGGATAGGAGTAGTTATTGTGGGTAGCAGTTTTCCCAGGCATCAAAATCATAAAAGAACATACTGCTGATTTAAATGCAAATGGAAGATCACATCATTTCTCCATACTTGAATATATTTCTTTTTCAAAAATCCATGGAGTCATGTTTATGCTGTTTAAAAAAATTTTCTTGAACACATTTGTAACCATATAATTGTATATTTCTTTAATATGTTGATTCTGTTGCTGTATTCAGTTATACTTAACTGAATATTCAGAATTCATTTTTTTCACCATGGGTTTCTGACTGTAAAGTTTATGCTATGTAACACAGTTATTGGAATGAGTGGATGTGAAATTATAGTGAGCTTTTATGTCGGGTGAGGGTAAGGGTTCTTTGAATGTGTGATTCTGTCACTCCATTAATACACATGCATGTTCCTTCGTGGTGAAAGTGATAAAGCACTGTACACCTCTCGTAGTGACTCAGTCTCACCAGAGTATATCAGAGATCATGAAATAGTATATAAGACAAAATTGACAGTTAATAAATTTCAAAAGACAGACCTAGTTTCTTTTCTTTCTTTTTTTTTTTTTTTTTGAGACAAAGTATCGCCCTGTCGCCCAGGCTGGAGTACAGTGGCACGGTCTTGGCTCACTGCAACCTCCGCCTCCCCAGTTCAAGTGATTCTCTTGCCTCAGCCTCCTGAGTAGCTGGAGGCAGGATTACAGGCGCCTGCCACCACGCCTGGCTAATTTTTTGTATTTTTAGTAGAGGTGGGGTTTCACAATTTTGGCCAGACTGGTCTCGAACTCCTGACCTCGTGATCCACCCGCCTCTGCCTCCCAAAGTACTGATGTTACAGGCGTGAGCCACCGCACCCGGCTGACCTAGTTTCTTTAATACTTTTTTAGATTGTGTTGTTTTAGTGACATGGGAAATGTTAAAATTTAAGAACATTTTCTAATCTTACATATTTGTGCTTTAACAGAACATTTCATTATAATGTTTTATAATCTATGATAATTTTGCCTTTTTAAGTTTAAAATATAAAGGATCCTTTTTAACCTTGGAAAGGAAATGGTTAGCTGCAGGTGCTTCAGGGAGTGGGTTGGGGCATTAGGAGAGGGAGGTGTCCTTGAGAAGGAAAGAAGGAAGGTAACCCCATCATATCTCTTTGGAAACGTGCTAATGACAGTTCTCTTGGCAAACACAATCATCATATTTACTAGTGGGAGAGATTTATCTCTGAATGCTTTTGGCAGAATACACCTGGTTTGTCTAGGATTGCTGTTGGGAATCAAACCTGCAATCTATGGATTTATGTGGCATGGCTCTTTGGAAAATGTCATCTAAGCTCTGTTAACTATTGGAGTGTAAAATGGAGATGTTTCATGAACGAAGCAACTCCCTTCTATTAGAGACCTCATGTGTTAATGGACCAAAGCATGTAGTCGTGCATATTCTTACGTGACAAGAAAGACCTGGGGAGCTGTATGGGTGTCCTCAAACCTCTTCCGACTTCTCCCATACCTTTCAGTGACATTTGTCCTTGAAATTATTAGTAAAGCTTGATTCTGGGTAAGAGTTCTGATATGTATGATTCAGATTTGACATTCCGATATGACATTGAGGTATTTTTTTTCCTGAAGGTGAAGTTAACACTGCCTTTTGATTTTTATTTTAAGGAAAGGTTGAAACTTGAACGTAACAAAGAATACAATCAGTTTCTCAGGGGTAAGGAAGAATCCAGTGAAAAGTTCAGGCAGGTGGAAAAGAGTACTGAGGTAGGTTTTGCTTTTGAAGTAAATCTGTACTACCACATGTTGAATATTTTGTACTTGAAAAGGTTTTTCTATTTTAGACATTTTACTTTTTTTTTTTTTGTAAATACTTGCAAAATTAAGCCAAATTAAACCAAACACAGAACATTTAAATGTTTAGTTTTGAAAGTTGTTTTATCTCATATTGAAGAACTTATAACATGTAATTAGGGAGATTTAATTTTAGAGATCAGTTTTGTTAAGTGATTTTCATTTATTTTTAAAAATTTAAATGAGTTTTTATGTTGACAATTCCTAGCTCGCTCTCTCTCTCTCTCTCTCTCTATATATATATATATATATACTTTTTTTTTTTTTCAAAATTTAAGGATCAGTTAGCCGGACTTGGTGGCAGGTGCCTGTAATCCCAACTACTTGGGAGGCTGAGGCAGGAGAATTGCTTGAACCTGGGAGACAGAGGTTGCAGTGAGCCAAGATTGCGTCACTGTGCTCCAGCCTGGGTGACAGAGCGAAACCTGGTCTGGAAAAAAAAAAAATGAAGGATGATTGATGTATCTGGGGCCAAACCATTCAAAACATTTACCACTTTCTGTATCCTTTGTGTTGAGAATTTAATTTGAAATATTTTGAAGTAATATCTCCTAGGATAGGAATTTGCATTTAGTTTATCCTCTCCTTCTTTCTTTTTTTTTTTTTTTTGAGATGGAGTCTTGCTCTGTCACCCAGGCTGGAGTGCAGTGGCACAATCTCAGCTCACTGCAACCTCCGCTTCCTGGCTTCAGGTGATTCTCCTGCCTCAAGCCTCCGGAGTAACTGGGATTACAGGTGCCTGCCACCATGACTGGCTAATTTTTGTATTTTTAGTAGAGATGGGGTTTCAGCATGTTGGTCAGGCTGGTCTTGAACTCCTGACCTCGTGATCCACCCGCCTCGGCCTCCTAAAGTGCTGGGATCATAGGCGTGAGCCTCCGTGCCCTGCCACAGAAAGGTAAAATTTTCTTCAAGTTTTTTTTTCTAAAAAAAATATATGGGCGATTAATGTTGCCTAGGCTGGTCTTGAACTCCCAGGCTCAAGCAATCCACTGGCCTCCACCTAGAATTTTTATTTAATAAACTAACTTTTCATAAACTGTACAATTTGATGGGTTTTAGAATATGTAAACCACAATCAAGATAACGAGCCTATCCCATATCCCCCAAAGTGGTTCTGGGACGTTTTGGAATCTGTGTGTCCTCACTGTCCTCCACTCATTCCCACATTGTCTCCAGATCTTCCTGACCTGACTTCTATTACCCTAGACTACTTTACATTTGATCATTTAATATAAATGGATCATACAGGATATACTAGTTTTGGGGGTGTGGCTTCTTTCACTCGGTATGATTATTTTGAGGTTCATTTGTGTTGTTGAATGTATGGATAATTCATTCAGTTTTGTTGCATAGTAATGTTCCATTGCATGGCTGTATCAGCTTGTTTATCCATTCCCCTGTTGATGGACATTTGAGTTATTTCTGGCTTTTGCTATTACAAGTAAAGCTTATATGAACATTCATGTAAAAACATATATATATATATGCGTGATTAAACAAACATCAGAGTTAAAATGATAGACTAAGTATAAATTGAGGGTTTAATTACCTTATGAGAGATAGTTTCTCATCAAGTTTTGTTTCTTTTTTCTTTTTTAATCGAACAGCCCAAGAGTCAAAGAAATAAAAAACCTATTGGTCAAGTTAAGCCTGATTTAACTTCACAAAAACAGACATCTTGCGAAAATTCAGAGGGTCCTAGAAAAGATGTCTTAACTCCTTCAGAGGCATATGAAGAACTTCTGAACCAAAGACGACTAGATGATGAACTCGAAGTAAGGAATAGAAGAATTATTAAAAAAGCAAATGAAGAAGTAGGCATTTCCAACCTAAAACATCAGAGGTTTGCAAGCAAGGCTGGCATTCCAGATAGAAGATTTCACAAATTTAATGAGGATCGTGTTTTTGATAGACGGTATCATAGACCAGACCAAGATCCTGAAGTAAGTGAAGAAATGGATGAGAGGTTTAGATATGAAAGTGATTTTGATAGAAGACTTTTGAGAGTGTATACAAATGACAGGTATTTACAACTTCATTTTTATTTTCTTTATTTGCTTAATATAGCAAATTAATTGTTAATATTTGCTGCTGTTACTTTTTATCATTATAGTAGGGAGAAGCAGTTTTATCATAATTAATTCTAAGTTGCTGTCAGTTTTAAGATGCATCATTATTTTATGTCCCACTGAGGGGAAAAAGAAAACACTCAAGGTGGCGGCCGTGTTATAAAGTTGGAAAACTGAAAGGCTACACCCATTATGTAAAAGTATGTGAATTGTCCCCACAGAAAGGGACAGAGAGGGAACGCCCACGTCCCAACCTTGTCAGTGAGTGGAGAGTAAAGATACAAACAGCCTTCCCTGAGAATTTGAAGTGTAAACTGGTACTGATTCAAGTTCACAGTCCAAATTCATACTGCCAGTAGTGTCCAAAGAAACCTTGAGGCCAGAATTCAGAGTTTTCTCAATTCATAGTGCTCTTGGATGAGGGGAAAAATAACTGTCTGCAATAACTTGACATAAAACCAGGTCATTGGCTATTCTGACTTCATATATTAAAATGTGGCCAGGTCTGGTGGCTCATGCCTGTAATCCCAGCACTTTGGGGGCCGAGGCGGGCAGATCACAAGGTAAGGAGGTGGAGACCAACCTGACCAACGTGGTGAAACCCCATCTCTACTGAAAATACAAAAATTAGCCAGGCATGGAGGCGCACGCCTGTAATCCCAGCTACTCAGAAAGCTGGGCAGGAGAATCGCTTGAACCCGGGAGGCTGAGGTTGCAGTGAGCGGAGATCACGCCACTGCACTCCAGCCTGGGCGACAGAGTAAGACTCTGTCTCAACAGCAATAACAAAAATAAATAAATAACATAAAACGTGTGAAAAAAGGATACCTTAAAATAGATGAAATACAGTTTATTCCTGTAGTCATAAGTTTTTTCAATCAGATTTTCAGATGGTTTTCAGTTCCTTTGAATGTTTTTGTGACAGTATTTATAATTTCTTAACTGCTACAATGAGGGTTTATTGTTGTATTTATCATACATTGATACTTGCCATAGTTTAACCTAACTTGTTTTGGAGTTAGGAATGAATACCTTTTTTTTTTTTTTTAGGAATGAATACCTTATGGTCTCATATTTGTCATTGACTTGTTTACTTGACAAGTGTTAATACATTTTGAGCAGCTTTTGGGACCTGCTTTATTTACTAGTCCAAATAGATTAGTTTTTAAGTATTGTAGAAAAAATTTTCAGGGGTAATGCTGTACATTTAGTATTCTAACTATTACGATACAAAGCTTTTACAGTTCTTTGTCTTCTACATTCTGTTGCTGTATGTCCTCACACAATACTTTTAATATTTACCTGATTTAGGTAATTTGATTGATTAAAATTTGGAAATGGCAATTATAGTTTCTCTAATCTGAATCTAATTGTTTATACTTAGAAAATTCTCCAAATCCTATAATGTTATATTTGAAAATGCTTATATATGAAGGTAGTTAAAGGCTGACTAAACTAAAATAACTTAATTGGGGAACTGCAAGTACTCTTCAACTCTTGGTGATGATGTCTCCTTTGTACATGAGAACTTCCTTTCCCTTTATGATATTTGTTTACCTTTAGGATGAATGTAATGCATACCTTTTTAAGTTTGGAATTTTAAGAAACATATTATAATGGTAGCTTCTTTGTTTTTTATATATTTTAATCTATTTTATAATTATACCCTGTGATAATTTTATACATGAACTGACAAATGAATATCATTCTATTTGAGAACTATCATATCTTCTTATGTATCCCATAAATAAAATAAATTCCTTCTATATAAACTTTCCCAAATACTATTTAAGAATTGATTAAACATGAGGTTGAGTGAGAATAATTCTTGTTAAATACTTTAAGGTGTTTCTTCAATATATAAATCATATTTTATGTATTTTTATTTTGTTATTATATCAACTTTGACATCTCCAAGTGTTTTTTCTTATGTGTCTCTTTAACAATTGAATTTAAAATTGGATTTACTTCAGATTTGTAGATTCCTTATTTCCACCAAAAAAAAAAAAAAGGATTTCAGTCATTCAGTAGTTTATAAATCAACTGGTTGATAGGAGAAATGACTGTATTTGTGAAAAGCTTGAGACTAAAGAAATGTGGAACTGAGTTTCATCTCTTGCTCCAAGCATTTATTCTTAACATACTGTGCAATCTTGATCAGAAGTTCTTGACAAAAAATAATTATAATGTATCATAAGAAGTGCACAGTTAATTTTCCTTAATTCTTCTAAGTTTTCTTTGTTCTTTTTTTTTTTTTTTCCTTTCCTAAAAGTCAGCATCTGGTCAATTCTAGTTTTGGTTTATAATAATTTTTTATTTTTGGTTTCAATTTTTCTCTACCCTATAAACATTTACTTTTTTCATATACCATAATTATTAATGAAATATTTCCCCATACTTAAATATGGGAAAGCTAGCTGGGCGCGGTGGCTCAAGCCTGTAATCCCAGCACTTTGGGAGGCCGAGACAGGCAGATCACGAGGTCAGGAGATCGAGACCATTCTGGCTAACACGGTGAAACCCCGTCTCTACTAAAAAAATACAAAAAACTAGCCGGGTGAGGTGGCGGGCGCCTATAGTCCCAGCTACTCGGGAGGCTGAGGCAGGAGAATGGCGTGAACCCGGGAGGCGGAGCTTGCAGTGAGCTGAGATCCGGCCACTGCACTCCAGCCTGGGCGACAGAGCGAGACTCCGTCTCAAAAACAAACAAACAAACAAACAAAATAAATAAATAAATATGGGAAAGCTAAAACTTTTCTCAGAAAATGATGTTACCTTCCTAAATTTGTATCATGAATCACTGACAGTGTTCTTAAATAATTAACAAGGTGGTTAACACTGTAATTGACAGTTGCATTGTGTGTGTATATGTGTTGTTTATTTATTCATATTTACCAATTTAAGTAAAATTTATCATATTTTAGGAGCTTTCTAAAGTAGAATGTAATAGCATGTCCTAAGATACTTTGAAATTTATAGGCTCTATTTAAATATAGTAATCCTAGTCTTATTTATTAACTTGAATTGTAGAAGTTAATATTTTACTTTATTGTGTTTTACTTTAACCAATGTTAATGAGTAAAAGAAGTTTTACTTCTTAATACCCAAAGAAACCAGGTACAGGGTAGATGGGATTGGTAATAGAAAACAGTGCTACCAAAGTAAATATAAAAACTGGGAAAGAATTGAAAACAAAGAGAAAACTGGTTGTCCACAGTTAACATCTCAGAGTTTTTCTTTAGCTTCTATTTTTTTTTTTTTTTTAAAGATTAACATGTGTTCATTTTTAGGATAAAGTTGGCCTGTACCCTATACCTGGTTTCTTTGGGTATTAAGATTTTTACCTGATCAGCTGGAGTTGTTGACTCATGTCTTCAAGGAAATAGGGAGAGAAATATTTTTTTCATTTAAAATATATATATATATTTTTTTTAGTTAGTAGGATGGTGAAATCATTTTGCAGTTATTTTATTCCCTCAGTCATATCTGATTTGCATTTCAAAGTTACGAGTTCTGTCCCTTTCTGACAAAACCCAATATATTAAGGTGTGATAAGTGAACCTATATATTAAAAGCCATAGAATATTTAGGTAGATTTTCTATGACTACACCACCCTGGAACGTGCCTAATCTTGTTTGATATTGGAAACTAAGTAGGCTTGGACCTGGTTAGTAATTTGATGGGAGAGTATTTAGATAGATTACTTCTGGGTCACAAGGATAGTCTTAATCTGGTACTCTTCACAGTGAAACAGAAAGGGCTTCCAGGGACAAACTGAACCTAAACTGAACCCCTGAACTTTGGTTAGAATCAGATGGTTCTTAGACATTAGGTGAGTGCATTACTTTTGGATATTATTGTCTGTCTGTTTCCCTTTAATGTTGAGATGATTGAATAAAGAGGTAACCATTCTAAAACCACTGCTGATTCATACTAGTTGCTTTCTTCAGAGAGGACTTTTTTTGTTCAGAAAAGGTTACAACAGTAAATTGTGAGACCATAAAAGCTGTTTAAGTGAACTAACCGAGGTAGTTCAGGGTGATTAAATGCTAAATTTATTAGAAATATAAAGGGCACTTTTAGTAAATGAAGGAAATGCCATAAAAATTGTAGGGATATTTTAATAGAGAATAAGGTGGCTAACTTTCCAAACTATAGTTTGGCTTTTCAGCTTAATTTCCCCTTCAAGGTTTCTTTTTTTTAGGTCTTATATTGGTAATTAAAAAAATATATATATAAAATCTATATTTGTAAACAGTAATTCTTCCTTGACTTAAAAAAGATAAATAAATCATGTGTCATTTCATAAAATTGAATAGTATCCCTAGGATTTTATCTTTTTAGTGAAATGCTTATTTCTGCTCTTTTTTAGTCTCTTACACATTTTTCAGTCTCGATCTTATTATAATTGTTGGTAACAAAGTGGACTTTTATAATCTTGTAAATGATTTTTTTTTCTTCAGTGAAGGGTATACCTTAGAATATCTTTTCATATGTGCTGTTCAGTAGGAAATCTTTTGATTTTGCTGTAGATTTTAGCAAACAGACCTTAACCTTATACATAAATAAAATCATTTCTTAAATTAATTTAGGATGAACTTGGAAAATGACCTCTTGTGTTTATGGCGTTTGCTTTACTATCTGTATACACTGAAGAGCCTGTAAAAGATTTTTTAGTGTGGATACCTTGGGTGCAGTGGTGATGTAAAGATAAGCTAGAATTATTAATCTAAATATTATCTTCAGAAAACTTAACTAGTAATGAAGGAAGCCACAAGCCCTATGTTAATTTTAGAAGAAGCTTTTGTATATCTCAGTGACCTTTAATTCTGGGACCCCAAGTTATGCTTTTAAGAATTTGTAACTTTACATTTCTATTTAATTTTTTTTTTTTTTTTTTTTGAGACAGGGTCTTACTCTGTTACTCAGGCTGGAGTGCAGTGGTACAGTCTTGGCTCACTGCAACCTCTGCCTTCCAGGCTCAAGCAGTCCTCCCACTTTAGCCTCCCAAGTAGCTGGGACTACAGGTATGAGCCGCCATGCCTGGCCTCTGTTAAAGATTTTTTAAATAAAGATTTATTATTAAAGAATGTATATAAATAAATTATTTTTATATATAATTTTTTTTTGGCATAGATACCTCTTTACTACACCAGTGAATTTGCTTTTTGTGTTGCGTCGTGGGTTCTCAAGAAAACCTCTAGGTGATTTGCTAGGAGGATCCATAAGGACTTTGGGTATAATTGTACTCACAGTTATAATTTATTACAGCAAAATGATACAAAGCAAAATCAGCAAAGGTAAAAGGCACATGGAACAAAGTTTGAAGGAAACCAGACACAAGCTTCCAAGGGTTCTCTCCCAGTGGTATCACACAGGAGATGCTTACTACCTCCAGCATTGAATTGTAACAATATAAGGAAATGTCTACCAGGAAAGCAATTAGATACTCGGTGCCCAAGGTTTTTATTGTGGAATGGTTACATAGGCATCCTGTACCTGGCATGTACCAAAATTCCAGACTTCCTGAAGAAAAGCAAGTGTTTAGCATAAACTATAGTTTGTGCAGTTTAAGCACAGTGAGCTGCTCTTATCAGTTCTGCCAGTGGTTGTAACTCTCCCAAAATCTGTATTCCCAGGTGCCAGCCAAGGGTCAACTACGTAGTCAGGCTTTTCTGAGGACAGGCAGTCTCAGGCCTGCTCTGTTAACACTTTTTGGCATTATATATAAAGATCTAGTATAACTAAATCTGGTTGCCTGGCAGTGTTAATTACAAATTTGAATTTGAGTTTGTATTTACCTGTTTGTTAAGTGGTGTAAGTAGGGAATGACACTAAGCTGATATGTCATTCACACATCAGAATGTGTGTGTGTGATGAATGTGTGTGTGTGATGTGTGATGGATTAAAAAATGGAAGCCATTCATGCGTTATGCCATGTGATAGTTACTAAGATTAAAATTCCAAATAGTGTTTTCTCCACAGATGATATTGACAGTGGCTTGTATGATGGAAACAAGTGAAGAAAGAGTTTTATATGCTGGTTCTGTGGAGAGTGAGAAGTTTCTTTTTTTTTTTTTTTCCGGAAAATTGCCATTTTTCTTAATCTGATAATGAAATTCACCTAAAATACTGAATACCACTTTAACAACCATATTTCTTTGTAATAGTCCTCTTGAGAAAGACAGTATAGTTGGGTAACTCAACAGCCACGTAAAGAAACTTTGAAATGATTATGAAATGCTGATTTTCATGAACGCCGATAAGTATTGGTATAAAAAGTCATGTTGGTTTCTATGGTATGAGAAATTAAGCTAAAAATAAAATCAGTGTTTGCCAAATGGAAAAAAGATTGATTGAAAAACATTTATTCATTATTATTTTCCAAAAAGGTTTTTAAAGAAGAAAATAGAAAACATGCTAATCTTTCTTTTTGTTGTTTATGACCTCGTAAGTAAAGTTAGCTAATCATTTTCCCTGTTAATGTTTTCCATTCGCCTATCAGTAACATTTATTCTTTCCTGTGATTTACAGTGTTAGCAAATGTCATGGTTTGTTATATTTGATTTAATTTACAGACTGCTGCTGTATTTTTAAGTTAAAAAGGTTATGACAGGGCGCGGTGGCTCATGCCTGTAATCCCAGCACTTTGGGAGGCGGAGGCGGGAGATCACAAGGTTAGGAGATCGAGAGTATCCTGGACAACAGGGTGAAACCCCATCTCTACTAAAATACAAAAAATTAGCCAGGTGTGGTGGTGCGCGCTTATAGTCCCAGCTACTTGGGAGGCTGAGGCAGGGGAATTACTTGAACCCAGGAGGCAGAGGTTGCAGTGAACCGAGATGGCGCCACTGCATTCCAGCCTGGCGACACAGCAAGACTCTGTCTCAGAAAAAAAAAAGAAGGTTATATATACAATGAAATAATTCACAGACTCTATGAATTTTGATTTAAAAAATGTTCTCATTTTGAATTTTGACTATAATCTTTGTGAGTGTAGGGACTGTGTCCGAATACCCAGTAGGTGTTTGGTTCACTTTTAAATAGAATGATAAAAAAGTGTTAGTATATTTGTAGTTTTAAAAATCAAAACTTATAGAAAGTACATTAAAATAATTTATAATCTTTTTAGAAAAGATTATTACATTTAAACTCTTAGTGTCTCATTAACCAGCAGATCATACAAATTCTATTTAATTTTAGAATGTGTTTATGGTAAAACTTCATTATAACACTTTGTTCCCTTTAATGTTGCCAACATCAAATGTAAAACCACCAAAGTGTTGTAAGAAGGTCTGTATGTGGAACATTCTTTATAAGCTAATATGTTTTTAAGGATGCACAGGAATAGACGAGGGAATGTGCCTCCTATGGAACATGATGGGGATGTTATAGAACAGTCAAACATAAGAATTTCATCTGCTGAAAATAAAAGGTACAGTATGTAATATAAATTCTCACCTTTAGTTATTACATTGTGAAACAGAATGTGCCTTAAACTGGCTAACTGAAAAAGTAGAAAGGTATAGTAAATTAACAGCCTTTCTTCTTAGAAGTGAATTAAAGGAAAAGAAAGGATGAGGAGGTAGTACTAAATGAAAATTGATAGTACTTTACAGCATTCTTTTAAAGAACAAGTTTTTGGTTATAAAGTGTGCCAGGGTGTTCTGAAGATGTCCTTATCATTACGAAGTATGTAAATTTGTTTGAAATAATAAAAGAAAGAAGTATAATTTAATGGACTAAAAACTTAAAATATCTTAGAGTCATGGTGATGCAACTTGACTGGAAATAAATTGAAAATGTGGCTGGGCCCGGGGGCTCATGCCTGTAATCCCAGCATTTTGGGAGGCCGATGCAGGTGGATCACTTGAGGTCAGGAGTTCAAGACCAGCCTGGCCTGGCCAACATGGTGAAACCCTCTCTACTGAAAATACAGGAAAAAAAAAAAAAAATTAGCCAGGCGTGGTAATCCCTCTAATCCCTGGTAATAATCCCTGTAATCCCAGCTACTCAGGAGGCTGAGGCAGGAGAATAACTTGAACCCTGGAGGCAGAGGTTGTGGTAAGCTGAGATAGTGCCACTGCATTCCAGCCTGGGTAACAGAGTGAGACTCATCTCAAAAAAAAAAAATTGGGAATGTTCCTGTGGTGTGAATTTTGATTTTCAGTTTATCAAGTAGATAGCTTTTATGCTTACTTTGTAAAATTAGTGCTCGTATATATTTCTGTCGTGTTGAAAGGAAATTATATGTATTTTATCTTTATGTTCTCTTTCTACTTACAGTTTTTTATCATTTTGGTGGCATTCCGGTGTTGTACATAAGGATAAATGGTTTTGAATCTATAGTATACAGTGAATATGATGTCATATGTCAAGAAAGATGCCTATTTTTTCTAAGAAAAATAATATATAAACACTGCTTGCAAGAAGATAATTTGCTGTTTCGTTCTAATCAATTAAGTTTCCTTTGAGGATTTTTTTCCCCTTGTTTCAGTCTTCCAAGAAAGGAGGGTTTTTTTTTTGTTTTTTTTTTGAGACAGCTTTGTTGTCCATGCTGGAGTGCAGTGACATGATATAGCTCACTGAAACCTTGACTTTCCAGGCTCAAGTGACCCTCCCACCACAGCCTCTGGAGTAGTTGGGACTACAGGCATGTGCCACTATGCCTGCCTAGTTTTTAAAAAAAAATTTTTTTTTAATTTTTGTTTTTTAATTTAGAGACAGGATCTCCGTTGTCCAGGCTGGTCTTGAACTCCCAAACTCATGGTGGGATCTTACAGGCATGAGCCACTGTGCATGGCTAGGAAGGAGTGTTTTTAGGGATGATCTTTTCTAAGTGTGTGCATAGGTCAGTCTTTCTCTTCTTTTTTTTTTTTTTTTTTAAATTTATGTGCACTTTTCTTTTTTCTTTTTCTTTTTATTCTTTTTTGAGACGGAGTCTCACTCTGTCGCCCAGACTGGAATGCAGTGGCACGATCTTGGCTCTCTGCCTTCTTGATTCAAGTGATTCTCCTGCCTCGGCCTCCTGAGTAGCTGGGATTAGAGGCACGCGTCACCACGCCTGGCTAATTTTTTTGTATTTTTAGTAGTGATGGAATTTCACCATGTTAGCCAGGCTGGTCTCAAACTCCTGACCTCAGGTAATTCGCCCGCCTTGGCCTCCCAAAGTGCTGGGATTACAGGCATGAGCTACTGCACCCGGTCTTATGTGCACTTATATTCCTTTTTTTTTTTTTTTTTAAACTGGGGTAACTTTTTTTATGAAAAAGGATTTTTTTTTTTTTTTTGAGACAGAGTCTCGTACTGTCACCCAGTGTTGAGTACAGTGGCGTGATCTTGGCTCACTGTACCCTCTGCTTCCCGGGTTCAAGTGATTCTTCTGCCTCTGCCTCCCAAGTAGCTGGGATTATAGGCGCATGCCACCATGCCCAGCTAATTTCTGTATTTTTAGTAGAGATGAGATTTTACCATGTTAGCCAGGCTGGTCTCAAGCTCCTGATCTCAAGCGATCTGCCCACCTTGGCCTCTCAAGGTGCTGTAATACAGGTGTTAGCCACCACACCCAGCCTGAAAAAGATTTTATTTGAGAACTTATATAGCCAGTGAAGCAAGCTGAACATTTTTGTTTTTGTTTTTGAGATGTGTCTCACTCTTGTTGCCCAGGCTGGAGCACAATGATGTTATCTTGGCTCATTGCAACTTCCACTTCCTGGTTTCAGGTGATTCTCCTGCCTCAGCCTCCTGAGTAGCTGGGATTACAGGCCTCTGCCACCACACCTAGCTAATTTTTTTGTATTTTTATTAGAGACAGGGTTTCACCATGTTGGCCAGGCTGATTTCCAACTCCTGACCTCAGGCAATCCACCCATGTAGGCTTCCCAAAGTGCTGGAATTGCAGGTGTGAGCCACCGTGCCTGGCCAAAAATTTTTTTTTTAGGCCTGAATACATTGGAGTTGCACTGTATAAAGAGATAGAATGCCATGATTTTACCTTAACCTTAAAAATTTGTAAATATTATAATGTCCATAGTACTTTGAAAGGCTAATCACTCATATCTACATTTTACTCTAAAATTTTGCTTCCTGTAAATTATCTGGATTTTAACTTACTCTGTTTCTCTGTCTTTTTTTCTTTAGTGCTTCAGACAATGAACCATCCAAATCTGCTAATCAAGATACTTGTAGTCCTTTTGCAGGGATGCTCTTTGGTAGGCACAAAACTTCCAATTAGTTGGACTTGTACAGAGTGTCTTATAATCCTTTTTTAGTGAGCACTCAGTGTTGTGATTAATACTATTTTTACTAATAGTAGAAAATATTTGTAAGTGCTTACTTTATGGCTAGATACTATGCTAATCATTTAGCTTATATAGCTCTATGTATAACTTTATTTTGTATTTTTAAAATTTTATATATCTTTGTATTTTTATTCATGATATTCATGAACACATCTATGTATAATTTTAAAGTTAAATTATTTACTGATGTGCTTTCCATAGGTGATAATAAAATTATTAGTTTCAGTAATCTTTTCTTTGCAAAATGGATTGATCATTACCAATCAGTAATGAGCTTTTAATTCCATATTTTATTAGCATTCTGTTGCAGTGTGGCTGTTTCTTACATTCTGCTTTTTAAAAAATGTTGTTTTATATATGATAGTTTTTTCCTTAATTCTTCTTTCTAGTTTCTTCAGCTAGTATAAAACTGCTTTGTATATTAGTTTATTTTCTACAAATTAAACCTTTCTTTCCTTTGTTCTTTTCATGTAGTTTCTGAGAAGGTGTTTTGTTCAAGTCATGATGATGGTCTAAATTTTCTGTTTATTAGAAGCCATTGCTGAATATAAGCTTGTTTTGCTATATGACACTTGTCACAACTTAATACCAGAAACTGTGAGGAGAGCGTTGTTTCTGGTTTGTACCTTTAAATGTGTAATAGAAAAGAGGTCTGTTCTTTGTGTGAAAACTGTTAGAAAAAAATGAACTGAAATTTGGTTTTAGTAAAGTATATGAAGAAATTAAATAACACTTTAGATTCATTCAACGTAAAAACAGTAAATTAAATACTGGTTTAGAGACATATAATTGCACTGTATTCTCAGATTTTTGTTCCCTTGTGAATGACTGTTGTGAGAAAAATAGCATGCCACCTAGAATTTTATTCTAGTATATTATCTGTAGGTGAAAATTGACCAGTTTAATCAGTACCATGTAAAGTCTATATTTTTTCTTTTATTTTTATTTACTTATTTTATTTTAAAAGGCTATATTCTTATGTTTTTTTTTTTTTTGAAACTGAGTGTCACCCTATCACTGAGGTTGGAGTGCAGTGGCACAATCTTGGCTCACTGCAACCTCCACCTCCTGGGTTCAAGTGATTCTTGTGCCTCAGTCTCCTGAGTAGTTGGAATTACAGGCATGTGCCACCATGCCTGGCTAATTTTTGTATTTTTTTAGTAGAGATGGGGTTTCACCATGTTGACCAGGCTGGTCTCAAACTCCTGACCTCAAGTGATCTGCCCGCCTTGGCTTCCTAAAGTGCTGAGATTACAGGCGTGAGCCACTGTTCCCTGCCGATGTATTTTATAAAACATGGTAAAATAAGAGAAATGTCTTTCTGAGCTGACAGCCTACTGATAAATAATTTTATCAATAAAAGGATTATTGTATCCTGACCTTTTAAAGATGAATAGCATGAGTTTAAGGCAATCCAGGATTTATAGATGAATATTTGGTAAGACAATGAACTCTTAACATTTGAAACAAACTGTTAAAGTCATTTAATTCAATGACTTATCTCGTGGTTGATCTTTTCCCCCCCAAACTATGTTTGTACATACCTATAGGAAATTTATTATCCCTAGAGACAGGACATTCCATCTTCAGATGGCTGTGATTGTTATGATACTCTTATTTCAATTGAACTGAAATTTATCTTCCTATAATTTTGCCCCAAGGATGTCACTTGGGGCCTTTTCTTCATTTAAAGAGTAAGATCATTGATTTAGTTTAGAGCTAAATAACAAATGTATTGTAGGGTTTATAAGAGAACCATAGGTAATTTAGAAGTATGTTTAAAAATTTGCATTCATTTGGGAATTTTCCTTCTGTCTTTTTGTTATTGACTGCTTGTTTAAGCCTCTTAAGATCCAAGAATATAATTAGATTAATTTCAGTTATTTCAAGTTTGTTGAATTTCTTTGACTTTTTTTTTTTTTTTTTTGAGTGGCTCGGAATATAGTCTGTCTTAGTGAGTGTTTAGTGTGTACTTGAAAGAATGTGCATGGTGCAGTTGTTGAGTATAGTAGTTTATAGATGTTATTTAACGCTGGGTGTGGTGGCTCACACCTGTAATCCCAGCATCCTGGGTGGCTGAAGCAGGAGGATCACTTGATTGAGTCCAAGAGTTTGAGAGCAACCTGGACAACATAGGGAGACCATGTCTCTACAAAAAATAAAAAAATTAATTGGGTGTGGTGGCATGCACCTGTAGTCCTAGCCACTCAGGAGGCAGAGGTAGGAGGATTGCTTAAGCCTGGGAGGTTGAGGCTGCAGTGAGCCATGATTGTGCCACTGCACTCCAACCTGGGTGACAGAGTAAGACCCTGTATGAAAAAAAGAAAAAAAAAGGTGTCAGTTAAATCAAGTTAGTTCATTGTATGTTCATGTCTTGTATATCCTTAATGAATTTTATCTGCTTCTATTGATTGCTTAGAGAGAAGTGTTGAATTATCTATCTTGTCCTTCATGTGAGGCCTGGAGTGCCAGAGGGATTTTCTTAGTGTTCCTGCACTTTCCCCAGTTTTCAGCAGGACCTTCATGTCCTTGACAGTGAGGGCATCTCTTCCTCCACACTTCCCCCTTCTCGGCAATATGTTGCTGTTGATTGTTACTTGATGTTGTACTGGTCCTGTGCATCTGGGCCTCAGGGATGGGTCTTTCTCAACATTTCTGTCCTTGCCCAGGATGATAGCTAAACTCTTCTTTGTGTCTGAGGAGGGTTTTGCATCAGATTTTTCACCAGATTTTTTTTGCCCTTCCCCTAACAGTAACAAGCCTTTGCTATGTAAGAGTGTGGGATATTGGGTCCAAGCTGATTTTCTGTCCCTTCACCATAGCTTGCAGCTTTTGCTTTGTATAGTCTGCTTTGAAAGTCTGGAATGTGGGCCATGTTTTGTGCCTGAATGTCACAAAAGTATCTCTTTTAGGTCTTCTGTGTTGTTTGATCCCAGTTTTTCTAGTGAACATTTGGAAATTGCATTCAGGCAGCAACTCCAGTGGGTCAAGTCTGGGCATGGCTTACTGAACAGATCCTTTGCTAATGGTCTCAAAAGGCTATAATCAAAGTATCCATCAGGCTGCTTTTTAACCGGAGGCTTGAGTGGGGAAGAATCTGCCTCTAAGCTAATGCAGGTTGTTGGCAGAATTCATTTCTTTGTGGCTATATGACTGAGGGCCCTGGCTTCTTACTGGATACCCACTGGAGACTGCCCACAGTTCCTAGTGGCCATCTGCTGTTCCTTGCCATGTGGGCTTCCTTACCATGGTTACTTACTTTATGCCAGCAAGAGGAATCTCTAAATTCAGGAAGGGCCCATTCCTTCTAAGGGCTTTCACCTGATTGTATCAGGTCCACCTAAGATAATCTCCCTTTTAATTACTTCAAAATTAGTTGATTCAGTACCTTAGTTGCATCTGCAAATATTTTTTCCACCTTTCCATATTCTATTGTATACAAGTAAGTTACAGGTCCTACCCATTCTCAAGGGGAGGGAATTATACAGGGATTCAGCAGGGAGCAGGGAACGTAGTAGCCATCTTTAAAAAATTTTGCCTACCATTGTCACATTTCTCTGTTACTAATGTTGCAGTCTCACACATGCTCCTTAATGTAGCAGTTTCTCGTTGTCTGAACTATTACCCCAGGTTCTTTGTCCCATGTCCAAGAAAATTAAGAAATATAGACACAAAGGTGGGGTTGGAGCGAAAGTTTAATAAGTGAAAGAAAAAAAGCTCTCTGCAGGGAAGAGGGGAGTCTAAGTAGATGGCCGGGTTACAGCTGAATTGAAAAGCTTTTATAAGAAACAATCTCTGTAGCAGTTTGAGTAACTTATCAGTAAAACTATCTGTGCAACTCGTGTTACCTTATACAGCTCTGGGTACCTCTCTAGGCAAGCAGAAAGCTGCTTGTCTTGTTTGTATAACTGGGTTTGTTTTACATAAGCCACCCCTGCCCTACCCCCATGCAAGTTCCCACTATGAATATGCCTGAAAGGAGGTGGAAACTTTCCTGGGAGTTCACTAATTAGACAAATAACAAAGAGCTCTGTGCTAGACCCTTGCTTATCTGTCCAGGTGCAGTCTGAGGTTTTATTTTTTCCCCCAGGTTGTTTTATTTTTGTCTGTTGCTGTGACTTTTCAAGCAGGCTGCTTCTGCAGTCTGAATTTTTTCCAAAATGGTTTTTCCTTTCCTTCTCCCTCACTAAAGACCAATTTGATCTGAGTTCAGTTTTAAACTTAGCTAGGGACCTCTAGAGTAGCTTTCCTTTCAGAGAATAGTTTAGTCTTACTACTACAGAGTGACCTTTCTGACGTGTTCCCTGAAAGACCACCAAGAACATAGCTGGCTGGAGCTTGAATTTTTCTCCTTTGTTTCAGGTCTGAGAATTGTTCAGTTTGCATACCCTTCTTAGTTTGTTGCCAGGCCAAATGGAATTTCACTCTGTGAATGCACAAACTAGCACACTGCAAAGTCTGAAGGGACCTCCTGTGGATTTCTGGAGCTCTTTTTGTGCTTCCTATTGGATCTTTGCTCCATAACTTCTAGCCATTTTAGCCTTCCTGAATTTTGCTCTTTATCTATTCAATTTAGCTCAGTTTCCTGGCCCTCTTTGGGTTCTCTTTACCTCTTTACCTGTATCTGTGGTCTGGAAATTTCATTTGGGCAGAAATTGGATGATTATAGGGCTCACCTCATCTATTTTCCTTCCTTTAGGTATTACAGTTCTGTACTACCTCTTGTCCAGTGTCTGGAAAACAATTATTTTGTGTATTTTGTCCACTTTTCTAATTTGTTGTTATTGTTGTTGTTTATTTGTTTTTTAAACAGTGTGAGGTTAAGTCTTGTGGTTGGTTATTCTATCATGGTCAGAAGTGGAATGGTAATATTTACTTTTATTATAAAACACAGTTATTAATCTTAATGTAATTCATGTAACCTCTATGGGAGCTTCACTTTTGCTGATATCTGTGCTTAATGGACAAACTGAGATGCTGTGTGCCCACTGATGGTTGGAGACCAGTAATGAAGACAGTACAGAAATTGCTGTTTCAATTGCATTCTTGATACCCTGTGATTTTTGTAGTATTCCAGATCTTGCATATCTAGATTAAGAGGTTATTTTGTGGTGTTAACATATGCAATAATAATAATCTTCTCTGCATTCAAAATTTTTGAATAGCTGAATTTTTGTGTAAGGAATACCAGGGTGAGAGGTTTATATTTTTTCCTGCAGAACTGAATTTTTTTGAGCAGAGTGCCAGTTTGATTAGTGTATTTTATGATGGTTAATATTACATAGTGTACTGGATCTATTGGAGCAGGGAGAAGGAAGTTGGGAAGACTGGATATTAGTTAGGAAGTTTTTGCTGCAATCCAGGTCAGATGTAGAGAGGACTTATGCAAGGTTAATGGCTCTGAGAATAGAAAGGAGGGGGCCTCATATGAAGAGAATAGAAGAGGACAAGCAATCCAAGTTATAGTGAGATTTTGAGGCTCCAGTATTGGTCCATTAATAGAAAATGAAGAGGGGCAGATGATTTTGAGGTGCTCATTTGGGATTGAAATGTTAAATTTATAAGACTTATGGAAGATATTAATGGAAATATTACTTAGATTGTTAGAAAAATGGGGTTGGGATAAGAATATTCTGTTATTTAGGAAAATTTTTGACTACTGGTAGAGGCATGGGCATGATTACCGTATCTTGTGTTTGACACATAGTAGGTACCCATTAATTACAAAAATAATTGAAGAAAGACTGATTCATGTGATTTTTTCCTTCTGTATTTCTTGCATATTCAGTAATTATATGATACAATTAAGACAGAGTTTTTAAGGACTTGACTTTCTAATTGCATACGATGCTTAAGAGTTAAGATTGCATTTTTCTGATACCACTATCTAGGAGGTGAAGATCGAGAACTTATTCAGAGAAGGAAAGAGAAATACAGACTAGAACTGTTGGAACAAATGGCTGAGCAACAGAGGAACAAGAGACGGTAATGAAAGGTTTGCATTTAAAAGAGATATTTTGAGTTTAAAATGCATTTGTGTAGATGGTTAAATAAGGGGTTGTCTTTCTAATATGATGTTTGATTTGTAAATCACTTATATTTTAGTCTCTACATGGTAAATCAACAAGGAAAATAAATACCAAGAGAGTTTTTGTTGTTGTTGTTGTTTTGGCCATAAGTTGCAAGTGAGAGTATTTGTATATTCTGTGATAGACCTTTTACTTCCTTCATTGATTTCTTCAGTTTTTGATTTAAGGTAGCATTTAATGTTACAGATACGCCCTCTGGATTATCCCATATATAGTAACAAATATAAAAGTATTTTTTGCCATATGAAATGGTATGCACATACACATACGTGCAAAAAAAAAAATTGTATCCTATAAATTTAACATTTCCATCCCAAATGAGCATCTCAAAACCAACTGTCCCTCTACATTTTCTATTAATAGCCCAATAATGGAGCCTCAAAATCTCACTATGACTTGTATTCCTTGTCCTCTCTTACTCACTTCATATGAGGCCCTCTCCTTCTTTCTATTCTCAGAGCCATTAACCTTGGATGAGTCCTCTCTACATCTGACCTGGGTTGCAGCAATAGCTTCCTAACTAATAACTAGTCTTCCCAACTCCCTTCTCCCTGCTCCAATAGATCCAGCACACTATGTTATTAACTATCAAAAAATACACTAATCAAACTGGCGCCCTGCTCAAAAAACTTCAATGGCTTCCTCAATTCCACAGGAATGATAAATCACAAGTATTTATGTTGTATATAGGTATCATTGTTTATAGTCTTTCTTGTTGAAATACCTATGAAATATTATAGTTTAAAATTAGGAATAGAGTTTAAAATTAGAAATTTTAAATATAGATTAAAATTAGAAATTACAGTAGCTCACGCCTGTAATCCCAGCACTTTGGGAGGCTGAGGCGGGTACATCACGAGGTCAGGAGATCGAGACCATCCTGGCTAACACAGTGAAACCCCATCTCTACTAATAATACAAAAAATTAGCCGGGCATGGTGGCACACACGTGTGGTCCCAGCTATTCGGGAGGCTGAGGCAGGAGAATTGCTTGAACCTGGGAGGCAGAGGTTGCAGTGAGCCAAGATCACGCCACTGCACTCCAGCCTGGGAGACAGTGCGAGACTCTGACTCAACAACAACAGCAACAACAAAATTAGGAATAGATATCTTGTTTTTGAGAGAATTTGAGACCTGTTATCTCTTAGTTTTTACCTTTTTCTATTTCAGAGGAAGCCAATATCTACTGTTTGATGTTAGTTATCTTTGACATTTAAAAAAAACCCTGTTATTAGGAAGTATGGTAGATATATTTAAATTTTTACCCTTCTTTTTGCTAACTGAAAATATATGTGTGCCCTAAAAGAGGTTTTTAGTTTTACAGGGTAAAGATTTTATTTCTGTATTTTATTTTGTGTGAATTACTTAGTCTTTGAAATACTCTGGGCATTGGCTTAGAGATACATAGTCTAAGTTACATGTGAATTCTAGTTTACTTTGTATCTAGTAAAAAAATTTGGCTTTCAGTATTATTTAAGGCTGTAATGTCAGTTAAAGGAATTATTTGTTTTTGTAGATATATTGCATAGACTTTGTGTATAAGCTTCTTTCAGTGATGATTTATAATTTTGATAGTTTATCTTTTTAATATGTAAAACTTTAATTTTGTTTAGAGAAAAAGATTTAGAACTCAGGGTTGCAGCGTCTGGAGCACAAGACCCTGAGAAATCGGTAAGGGTTTCTGGCATCTTTTAATGTTTAATCTTTCATCAGATGATCCTCAAATGTGGTGGCAGGTGGGGATAGAGAATATTGGGAGAAAAAGAGAGTAGACCAATTTGAACAGTAATAAAATTAACTAAAACTGTTCTCATAAAGTGTAAATTCTCTTAACTGTTATTTCCTTGACATAATTTTTCCTTTTTCATTTGCGTGTCATTTTTTAAAGTTTATTTTAAATTAGTTATCTCTGCTTTGTTCACACATACTATTCCATGGAGAGTTATCTTGGTTAAATTTATAATTGATGTTAATATTTTTCTTGAATACATCTTGATCACTTACTTTTCTTATATTGGAATGATTTCTGAGAAAACTGAAGACTTTATTTTTAAAGCATTTTAGTAATTGTTACTTATTGTAACATTAGAGAGATAATAATCTTATTTTTACTTGAATTTTGCAATTCTCATCATTAAGTGGAATGAATTACTCACATCATTGCAGTTAAGTAAGGAGGAGGTAATTTATTGTTTTTACCACAATTTATTTTTTCTGTGTTTTTACCACAATTTATTTTTTCTGTAGTTGGTTATGTAGTGTTTATTTCTAATACAAGTCTTGTTTCATCTTTGAATGATGATTAAGACCTTTAATTTCATTAAAAAGCTCATTCTTAAAAAGGATGCAGCAACTTAAAATTATTTACCTATAGGCAACTTTTGATTTGCTTTTACTTATGCCGAGAATATATCCTGTGGGTTATCTGTTTGGAAAAGTTTAATATTGCACCAGCATCACTCACAGTATGCTTCTAGGTTAACCTGAGAAATCATTCCTGATAACCATGGTAGAAAAAAAAGAAGATAAATTTCAAAGCTAAATATATTTTCTTTTATCAATCAAAAGTTTACTTTTAAAAGGTGAGCTTTTTAAGGTAATATGTTGGCATGTTAAATTTTGTATTATGGTTACACTAGTGTGTGACAGACTTTATCTTTGAATTGAAGCTCCTATAGAGTGTCAAGTTGATTTATGAGAATAAATAAGTAATTAGAGGAAACAGGCCTTTATTTTTGGGTTTACTTTAGATGTGCAAATCTTACAAAAGGGCATATAAGTGATGTTCTAAAGTAGAGATTAGCAAAGTGTGGCCTGTGGCCAATTTTTTTTGCTGCCTGTTTTCATAAAAAACAGTTTTGTTGCAGCACAGCCTTGCTCATTCGTTGACATACTGTTTGTGGCTGCTTTAGCACTATGGCTGAGTCTGCTTGTTATGAAGAGACTATGTAGTCTTGCAAATCCTATTTACTGTCTAGCCCTTTACAGAAAGCATTTGCTGACCCTGTTTTACAGAATACTTTGTAACAGATAACAGAAATGGCGGTTAGAGAAGTAGCACAGTGTCCTAGTACATAGAAATAATACTGCAGATATATTTAAAATTAATATCTGACTCTGGTCTTTACTTAATTCTTTACTAATAACGAGACCTTAGGTGGTATATTACTTCTCAGAGAACCTCAATTACTCATTTATAAAATAAGCATTAGATATTGAGAATCTGGCCGGGCGCAGAAGCTCACACCTGTAATTCCAGCACCCTGGGAGGCTGAGGCAGGTGGATCACTTGAGGCCAGGAGTTTGAGACCAGCCTGGCCAATGTGGCGAAACACCCTTCTTCACAAAAATTAGCTGCGCGTGGTAGCAGATGCCTATAATCCCAGCTACTCTGAGTCTGAGGCAGGAGAATTGCTTGAACTCAGGAGGTGGAAGTTGCTGTGACCTGAGATCGTGCCATTGCATTCCAGCCTGGGCGACAGAGTGAGACTCTGTCTCAAAATTAAATAAATAAATAAATAAATAAATAAATAAATATTCAGAGTCTTTTATAGCTGTAAAATTCCATTATTCAATAAATAAATAAATAAAAATAGATATTTGGAGTCTTTTATAGCTGTAAAATTCTGTTATTCTGTGACTGTCTTAAGTACCTGCTGGGATAGGAGGTCTTTTGAAGTCCCTTCTACCTTTAAGCTTATGATTATACGTAACAAACAGATTTTTTTTCTTTATTTTAGCCTGATAGACTAAAGCAGTTTAGTGTGGCACCGAGACACTTTGAAGAGATGATACCACCTGAAAGACCCAGAATAGCTTTCCAGACACCTCTCCCTCCTTTATCTGCCCCATCTGTCCCACCCATCCCATCAGTTCATTCCGTTCCTTCTCAAAATGAAGATTTGCGCAGTGGACTCAACAGCGCCTTTGGTGAAATGGTGTCTCCCAGGTGCTTGTTTAAATGTTTTGTGTGTGGGAATTAGGTAAGGTATTGCTATATTTTATGTTTAGAAGGATGTGCTGAAGCGGATAACGTTATTCTTCAGAGATTTTGTACAGTTAACAGTTTTGTGAAATAAGTTCTCCTGAAATTTGTTTTTTTCTCTGCTATTACAAAAATAAGGGAAATTCTTAAAACATTTTATTGTTTAAAGATGATTTTGTATCTTTAGAATGAATTACTAAGTACATTTTAGTGTTTACTTACTTTTAGGTCGTATTTTGGGATGTCTGTTTTTGATATCTTTTAACATATAAAAGTTGTACATTTTTTTCAATTTCGTTGTTTCCACTTGGCAAACATTGAATTCTTCAATTTGTGCAGAAAAAGTTTCTAATGTGGCTCTTTTATACGTATAATTTTATTTAGCTTCTGTTTCCTTCAGCTCATTCTCTGTGATTACTTATGGGCTGTGTAACTCAAATGCCTGAAATAAAAAGTGTTGAGATTATAAAACCTGTAATTTAGGTATTGGGGTAAAGATTTGATTTCTATAGGTAAAAGGCTATAATAGAGTATACATAAAGAAAATCCTGTTGTTAACACTGATATTTTCTGGGCTATACTTTCTTCTTTGTAGGACCTGGGCTTATTTTTTGTTCACTGGTAGTATATTAATTATAAAATATATTTAAATTTAGAGATGTTTTTCTTAACTTTTTTGAACATCAATATTTTCTGAACTATATTATTTCAGTAGAAGTTGGTCTTTTAGTTACTAACCCACTGTAGAACTGTGTTTACTGTACTTACCAGGGGCTTTGTGTTTTTCACCTGTTGGCTTCCTGACTCAAGAATAGGAGGGATTGGAATTGACAGAGCATTTTATGGTGGTCTCAGCATTGAATTAGGGATTGAAATGGTTGGCTTTCCTCTCTGGATTTTGGGCAAACCACACCTTTGTTGAACTTCAGTTTTCTCATTTGTAAAAGTGGAGTAGTAGTATATTTTATTTCATGTTTACAATTACAGGGTTGTGAGGATTAGTTTGTATAAATCTCTATAAAATTAGATTTAATGATAATGACAGCTCCCTTTCATAACAGTTATTTGACATTTTTGTTTATGTATCTTTGTTGTGAGGATAGTGTAAGGGTTAGACACATTGAGTGGCTAGTAAATATGAAAGATATTCCCTACTGAAGAGAACTTCAGGGCCTTCTTAGTTCTTTGGAATTATTTTGAAGTATATGACAAGGGAGAACCTGTTAAGATACATACAACAGTGAGAACATTCAAGAATGCTGCCATCTCTTTCTATTCATTTAAAGGAATTTGCCTTTGCCATTTTTACTACTGAAAAATACTGCATTGATGGAAATACAGAGATATTTCCTAATCAATAATGAAGTGCTAATGTAGAGGTTTTCAGAAGTTTTACATTTATGAAATACTAAAGATTATGTCAGTACTTTACTTTTGGTATTTAAGTCGCTTTTATTTTACTATTAAGAAATATACTCGTTTCCTCAGCCAGACTGAACCATTTGTACTTACACTGTTTTGTAGCTCTTTGCCTTCTCTTTCTGGATTGTCCTTCCTCTAACACACACAAGCTCACTCCAGTAGCATGACTTAAGCGTTGCCTCTTCTGGAAAGCCTTACATGTGCTTTCTTTCTCTCCCTCATGTGGTTTAAATGTCCCTGCTCCTGTACCTATAGCACTCTACGTTTTCTGGGCTATATTGCTATTTAATTTAATTTGCTTGTACTATTAATTATTTAATTTGCTTGTACCTGACTGTAGTTGTTTATTTTCATGTTACTCCTGAGGGACAGGGACCATTTCTGTCTTTATTTGATACTGGCACATTGTGCCTATTGGATATTAATTGGTTGAATATTAAGCCAGGTTTTTGTCTTACATAAATGTACCTGAAATTGTGAAATCCTATGTAATAGTGTTTGCTTTTTGAGTCATAATTTTTGATGAATGATTGGAGCAAGGTGGTGACTTTTTCTAAAGTAGTGATAGGATTTTCAGTACTGTTTTTGCAAAAGAGTAGTATCTTGATTTTTTTTAAAAAATTGCCAAGAAACAAGAGAGGAATTTTTCATTTTTGTTTTCATACAGGATTGCACCTCTGCCTCCACCTCCCCTACTACCACCTTTGGCTACTAACTATCGAACTCCTTATGATGATGCATACTATTTTTATGGGGCCAGGAATACTTTGGATCCCAGTCTTGCTTATTGTAAGTTATCTATAGGGTAAGCATTTTCTCCCCCCATGGCTCAATAAGGAAAATTGTTTTTTTGTGTAAACAAAAAATATCTAAATGAGAAAAGCACAGCTTTGCTTAATTCAGATGTTATATATTGACTTAATAAATGCCCTATTTTAAAGCCCAGTTACATTTTATTGTTACTTCCTTTTCATCTCTATTTAAGAAGTAACGATTGTGTTTTCTTATGCTGTTCTTTGCGAACTTCTAACCCAGAAGGAAATATTGATGGTTTTCCCTAGGTAACATTTTGATTATGTACCTTTTTCTGGAGGAATAAATAAAATGTTATTAAATGGTTATTCTAAATAAACTTTTTTTTTCTTATTTCTTTAAGATGGTTCAGGAATGATGGGCATACAGCCTGCAGCTTATGTTAGTGCTCCTGTCACCCACCAACTAGCGCAACCTGCTGTGTAAGTTATTAGTTAAAAGAATAATTTTTCCCCACTTTTATTTTGTAAAGATACACAAAACCTAAAAGCCACCATCCTAACATTTTAAAGTATACTATTTAGTGGTATTTAATATTTTCATAATGTGCAACCATCACCACAGTCCATCTTCAGAACTCTTTTTGTCTTGTAAACTGAAACTCTATACCCATTAAATAATAATGGTGTACCTCCCCATTCCCCTACCCCCATTCTGTGGTAACCACCATTCTATGTCTCTGATTTTGACTACTCCATGTACCTCATATTGAATGGAATCATACAGTGTTTATCTTTTTGTGACTGGCTTATTTCACTTTGCATAATATCCTCAAGGTTCATCCGTCTTTTAGCATATTTCAGAGTTTCTTTCCTTTTTAAGGCTGAATTATAATCCATTGTAATTGTATACATTTTGCTTATCTAAAATCTATCCATTTATCCATTAGTGGACACTTTGGGTTGCTTCCACATTGTGGCTATTTGTGAATAATGCTGCTGTGAACATGAGTTTACAAATATCTCTTTGAAATCTCGTTTTCAAGTTTTTTAGTTCTGTACCCAGAGCTGGAATTGCTGGGTCATATGGTAATTCTATGTTTAATTTTTTGAAGAACTACCGTACTGTTTTCCACAAGTGCTATACTTTTTTATATTCTCACCAATAGGGCACAAGGGTTCCAATTTCTTCACATCTTTGCCAATACTTATTTTCTTTTTCTGTTTTTATAGTAACCATTCTAATGAGTATAAGATGGTATTTCATTGTAGTTTAAATTTGCATTTCCCTAATGATTAGTGAGGTTGAGCATCTTTTCATATGCTTATTGGCCATTTGTATATCTTCTTTGGAGAAATGTCTTTTCAAGTACTTGGCCCATTTTTAAATTAGGTTGTTTATTTTTTGTTGTTGAGCTTTCAGAGTCCTCCATATTACCTGGTTATTAATACTATGTCAGGTATTTGATTTGGAAATATTTGCTCCCATTCTGTGTTGATACTGCCTTTCGATGCACAAAATTCTTAAATTTTCATAAAGTCCAGTTCATCTGTTTTTATTATTGTTGCCTATGCCTTTGGTGTCATGTGTGAGAAATCATTGCCAAATCCAACATCGTGAAGCTTTTGCCCCATTTTTTCTTGTGAGAGTTTTATAATTTTAGGTCTTATGTTTGAGTCATTTTGAGTTAATTTTTTTATGGTATTGCATAAGGGTTTGTCTTAGTTATTTTGTAAGTGGATATTCAGTTTTCTTAGCACCATTTGTTGGAAAGACTATCCTTTCTGCATTGAGAGATACTGGCATTCTTGTTGAAAATCACTGGACCAAATATACGAGAGTTTATTTCTGGGCTATTTATCTTTTTCCCTTGGTGTGTATGTCTTCCTTTATCCCAGTACCTTAGTATTTTGATTACTGTTGCTTTGAATGTTTTGAAATCAGAAAATGTGAGTCCTCTATCTTTGTTCTTTTTCAATATTGTTTTGGCCATTTTGGATTCCTGGAGATTCCGTATGAATTATAGGATGAGTTTTTCTATTTCTGCAAAAAAGTCATTGTGATTTTGGTAGTGAGTGTATTGAATCTTTGGGTAGTTTTGACATTTTAACAGTGTCACATCTTCTGATCCATGAACATAAGATATATGTCCATTTATTTATGTCTTTTAAAATTTCTTTCAGCAATATTTCATAGTTTTCATTGTATAAGTATACGTCTTCCACTTCTTTAGTTAATTCCTAAGTATTTTTTTCTTTTTGCTGCTTTCATAAATGGAATTCCTTTCGTAATTTTCTTTTCAAATTGTTCATTGTTAATGTTTAGAAATGCAGCTGATTTTTGGGTGTTGACTTGTATCCTGTTACTTTACTGAATTCATTTATTTTAATAGTTTTGTTGTAGAATCTAGGCTTTTCTGCAAATAAGATGGTAAGATCTGTGAACAGAGATAATTTTACTTTTTCTTTCTGATTTGGATACTTTTTATTTTATTTTATTTTATTTTTGAGACAGAGTCTTACCCTGTCACCCAGGCTGGAGTGCAATGGTGCGATCTGGGCTCACTGCAACCTCTGCCTCCTGGGTTCAAGTGATTCTCCTGGCTCAGCCTCCTGAGTAACTAGGGTTAAAGGCGTGCACCACTATGCCTGGCTAATTTTTTGATCTTTAGTAGAGATGGGGTTTCACCATGTTGGCCAGGCTGGTCTCGAATTCCTGACCTTGTGATCCGCCCGCCTCAGCCTCCCAAAGTCCTGGGATTACAGGTGTGAGCCACCACACCCGGCCCCTTATTTTTCTTTCTTAATTACTTTCTTAATTATCCTGACTGGAGCTTCCAGTACTACGTTTAATAGAAATGGCTAAAGTGGGCATCCTTGCCTTATTCCTGATCTTAGAGGAAAAGTCTTTCACTGTTGTATATGATGTTTGCTGTGGGTTTTTCATATATGGCTTTTATTATGTTGAGGTAATTTCATTCTGTTCCTAGTTCGTTGAGTTTTAATAATGCAAGTGTTAAATTTTGTCAAATGCTTTTCTGTATTGAGATGATCATGTTGTTTTTTCCCCTTTATTCTTTTAATGTGGTATATTGATTGATTTTTTTTTATGTTTAACCATAACCATCCTTGTTTTCCAGGAATAAATTCCACTTAGTCATGGTGTATAATTATTTTATTTTTTATTTATTTTATTTTATTTTTTTTTTGAGACGGAGTCTCGCTCTGTCGCCCAGGCTGGAGTGCAGTGGCCGGATCTCAGCTCACTGCAAGCTCCGCCTCCCGGGTTCCCGCCATTCTCCTGCCTCAGCCTCCCGAGTAGCTGGGACTACAGGCGCCCGCCACCTCGCCCGGCTAGTTTTTTGTATTTTTTAGTAGAGACGGGGTTTCACTGTGTTAGCCAGGATGGTCTCGATCTCCTGACCTCGTGATCCGCCCGTCTCGGCCTCCCAAAGTGCTGGGATTACAGGCTTGAGCCACCGCGCCCGGCCGGTGTATAATTATTTTAATATGCTGCTAGTATTTTGTTAAGGAGTTTTGCATCAGTGTTCATATGTGGTCCTGTTGTAGTTTCCTTATGGTGTCTTTTTCTGGCTTTGGTATAAGCACAATGCTGGGCTTATAGAAGGAATTAGGAAGTGTTCCCTCCTCTTGAACTTTTTGAAAAAGTTTGGGAAGGGTTGATATTAGTTCTTCTTTAAATGTTTAATAGAATTCACCAGTGAAACCATAAGGTACAGGGCTTTTCTTTGTTGGGCGATTATTGATTACAGATTCAGTCTCTTTAGTAACTAGTTATAGGTCTATTCAGATTTTATTTTTCTTCATGATTTAGTCTTGATAGGTTTTTATTTCTAGGAATATGTCCATCTCATCTAGGTTGTCCAGTTTGTTGGCATATAATTGTTGATAATATTCCCTTACAGCCCTTTCTTATTTTCAGAAGATTAATAGTGATGTCCCTTTGTGACTTTCTGATTATATTTTTTATATTTACTTATTTATTTTTCTGACTTCATTCTTTCCATCATAGAATTCCTGATTTTAATAGAAGATTCAGAGCCTTCTTGTTGTTCAGTGTAGCTAAACATTTGTCAATCTTGTTGGTCTTTTCAAATAACTGTTGGTTTGGTTGATTTTTTTTTTTTTTTCTGTTGTTATTCTAGTTTCGATTTCATTGATTTCTGCTGTAATCTTTTAAATTTCCTCCATTCTGCTTACTTTGGGTTCCGTTTGCTCTCATTTTTCTGGTTTCTAGAGATGAAAATCTAGATTATTGATTTGGTATCTTTCCCTTTGTTTGGTATATATACTTAACAACTATAAGCTTTACTGTTTTAGCTACATCCTTTAAGTTTTGATATGTTGTCTTTTCACTTTCATTACTCTCGAAATATTTTCCAATTAAAAAAAATTTCTTCATCAACCTGTTGGTTATTTTGAAATGTGTTGTTTAATTTCCACATAATTGTGAATTTCCCAAGTATCCTTCTGTTACTGGTGTCTAATATAATTACGTTGCAGTTGGAGAACAAACTTTGTATCATTTCATTCAGTCCTTTTTAATTTATTGAGGCTTATTTTAAGACCTAACGTAGTCTGTCCTGGAGAATGTTCCACATGCACTTGAGAGGAATGTGTATTATCCTGTTGGTGTGTGTATTATTCTGTAAGTGTCTCTTAGATCTGGTTGGTTTATAGTGTTATTTCTTGTATTTCCTTGTTGATCTTGTGTAGTTGTTCTGTTATTAGAAGTGAAGTATTTAATCTCCAACCATTACTTTGTGTGTGTGTATGTTCTGATATACAGTCTTGCTGTGTGTGTGTGTGTGTATTCTGATATACAGTCTTGCTCTGTCGCCCAAGCTGGAATACAGTTGTGAGACCATAGTTTGCTGTAGCCTCAACCTTCTGGGCTCAAGCAATCCTCCTACCCCAGCCTCCTGAGCAGCTAGGACTACAGCCATGTGCCACTGCGCCTGACTGATTTGTTTATTTTTTGTAGAAACAGGGTCTCCCTGTGTTGCCCAGTGTGATCTTGAACGCCTGGCCTCAAGCGATCCTCTTGCCTCAGCCTCCCAAAGTACGAGGAATACAGCCATGAGCCACCACACCCGGACTCCAGCTGTTATTCTTGACTTGTCTATTTTTCTCTTCAATTCTGTCAGTTTTTGTTTCATTTCTTAGGTCTCTCTTTATATGCTTATGTTTATAATTGTGTCTTACCGAAGATTTGACCCTTTTATTAGTATCAGAGAGTCTTCTGTGTCTCTGCTAATAGTTTTTTTGTCATAAAGTGCTTTTAGTTCTAATATAAATGTTGCTTTTCTGGTTCTCTTTTAGTACTGTTTGCATGGTGTATGATTTTTCATATTTACCCTCAATTTATTTGTGTCTTTGAATCTATAAAGATGTCTCTATATAGACACAATGCAGTTACTTCCTGGTTTTTATGTTTGCCATTTTGCAATTTTTTTCTATAT